ATTAATTGGTGACACTCGTTAAATAACTCTTAATTAAAAGGCGTCATCAATCTAAGCGAAAAGTCTATTGTTTCTTTGCAAACATTTCCATTTTATCAGACAATTATGCGAAAAATTTGACCTTTAATTTATGACGATCGTTAAATACATCCAAAAAATAAAATTTTCTTCATACCTCCTCATTTGAAATTGCTGAATGTTTTTTCAGCAGACGAAAAAATAACAAAAAAATTTTCCCGTCAAACTGTTCACAAATACAAAAGATATTTAAATTTTTTTGTTCACGATTCTAACACATGAGAATCCGGCATTCTAGCGAAAATTCAGTTTTTTTTTTTTGACATAATAGATAAAATTGTAATAGTGGGAAGACCTCAATGTCGAGTAACTCTAATAATGATCATCATGATGCTCATATAATTGATGATATGTGTGTACATACATTAGAAACAGCCACATAAAGCCTTTGTGCTCAATTTTTAATACACTTGATAGTTTTGAATGCATTTCAATTGAATGGAATTCGCTATGTACATGACTCAATATACATAAAAATTTGCTCGAGTGGCTTTCGACTCAATTTAGTTAATTCTCACAGAAATATTTGAATATGTACTTTTTCCTTACATCTCTCGAAAAATTGGTCATTTTGTTGCTGTAAGTATGGATATGCCTTTTCTCAGCTCATTCTAGTCACTTTTATAATTGATAGAACCTAGTGCTTCAATTTTCAGTAAAATGCAATTGATAATTACAAATAAATAACAGCATAATAATAACAATAGTCAGTCATGAAAATGAAGTAATCTAGTGCGCACATATATCACGTTTGTTTCAAATAAAAAGAGCAAATCGCAATGGGAAGGAAGCAGAAATTATTTCGATGATTTGCATTAAATTTCTTATTTTTATTTCTAACGCTCTGCAGCATACAGGCTTGAATTAAATTACACTTGAAAGACAATATTATGTTTTTAAATTCGTTGATGACTTATTGACACTTTAGGACTTTGCTATACAATAATTATCAGTCGATGAGGCATCTTGAAACAAATTAAGCAGAATAACACATTTATTTCAATTTTATGAGCTATGTTAAATGACAGATAGAATCATTACTAAGGAGTTATGATGTAAGTTATCGCTGGCTTCAAAATACATGAATTTTCACTCTTAATAAACAAAATTTCACATAAATCAGTCGACAGGTCGTAACGGATAATTTACATTTGAATATTATCAGTAAAATGAGGGCTTCTCCGTTATAGAATGAATTTTAAGCAGCACAAGCATGAAGTTATTCTGATTAAAGAATTAAAAAATGCAAAAAGCTCAATTCTGCTCAATCCTTTAAAAAAAATCTCCAAATTCCCGCCTACACGTGACGAGTTCAGGTCAGCAATAATCGTTTCGTATTAACAAAGGAGAATGAGCTAATTTAATTAATTTTTTTCTTCTTTTCAATCAGACGCCAGACATAGAAAACAGGCTATTTGATAACAGCCTTATAATTCTTCGCTATCGTCGAATAAATAAATATATACTTTATTCTTGTTATGCTCTCTGGAAATTTTAAAAAAAATACATCAAGGTTATCATCTGGATTGACTTTCTTAAAGGGGGAGAAGAAGCTCAGAAATGAATCAGAGTCTTAGAGGAATGTCGTTTGAAGACCATTTTATTTTGGGAATTACTTGATCTTTGTTTTTTGAGTTGCATTATTTGGTCGGTTTTAGAAGTAATATTAGGGATAAGTCCTTAATAAATCTAGGGTATACATTGTTACAAGCCTCAAAAACTAGCATTTCCTTACTAATTCCACTACATCCTAATCAAATAAAATTCTCAGTCAGAACCAACACCTAATAAGAAAGTAATTTTGATGATATCAGCTTTCCAGACCAGCATAATATTATTATGTCCTACATATCAAGTATTTTGCATAAAAATTTACTACAGTTCTAAGCTATCATTGTTCATTGTCCATTGTCATTAATTTAAATTAATGTATGAAAATTTTTGCTCAATTCTCGTTCAACACAACACATTTTTTTACATTAATAATGCGTATTTACATTAGAGTTGATCATATGCTACGCATGGATGAGCAAAAATGTATCAAATATTATTTTTGGAAAAACAGGTGCCTTAGCAAGTGACCAAACGCCTTTAGGTTTTCCCCCAACCAAAAACAAAATCCACGTTACAGGTCATTTCACTTAAAAAGTCACTGTCAATGAGATTTTATTCCAAATTTTCCGCCCCCTTCAACTGCATACATACAGTATGATCGAGTACGAAGAGATTATTTTGAGATTTTTTGTTTGTTTTTAATCGAAAATATCTGACGTTTTTATTTATTATTATTTATATTCATATCTGGTGAGAGTTATTGTGGATGAAAATTTGTCATTATTTCTAAGAAGATTAAGTTTTTAGAATTATTTATAATAAATTTCGGGTATCACATGTTGATCATCATAAACTGTTCCCTCTCTTGTTCATTAATTTATATATTTTCTAAATATCCATATTTCGTTCTATCTTAACATATGTCCACCATATAGTATTGTATAATAAGTTTTAATCAAATTATCTCTTTCTGCTCATATTCATCGTATTTTTTTGTCTATTGAGTTATGATTTTTTTGCGTTGTATGTCATCTAAAAAATTCACATAGCTTCAATATGTCGCTCTATTAACTCGTTAGTTGTTATTTAATTAAGATTTTTTTTTTCATGTTTGGGTTCATCATAAATTGAATTAATAATCCTCAATTTAATTGTACGTAAAATTTGAAATGATTTGTGATCTTTTCAATTTGAATGCTGACCTGATCTTTACATTTTTGCTCGCACTTTTCCACAACATTATTTATTGGTGGAGCTTCAAGCTCTGAACTCTCCTCCGCACTACATATTAGTGGTTTTGTTATAATGCACAGTATTAAAATTATAAAAGCTATCACACATTTATTCCTATAATAATTATTATTATTGCATGATTTATTACTATTTAATTTGTATTTCATTTTATTATCAATCATAAAAAATTTCTTTTAGCACTTTCACACTTAATAACTTTTTTTTTAAATTTTTTTTCACTTCTTCTTTCCTTCCTTTTTTTTTGTGCAAAAAAAATTGTTATCAACAGAAAATTTCAATAAACGCGTACATCGCTTTAAGTGCTTTCAACTTTTTCCGTGTGAATTGTTAGCCGGCCGATGAGTGAATGATAGCAAATGACTGTACACACATAACAAATATTTAAAAAATTACTCTCGCTGCTCTTGATCATCATCTTCATAATACGAGGGAAAAAGTATGAATGAATCTATCTATGTGTATGTGTTTATATTGAAGTAGGCTCTACATTAGCTTATTAATTGAATACGATACAAAATTTTGACTCTCTGAGTAGCTTTGTGATTGCCGCATGAGTGCCTTTGTCCAGTCACGTGCTGCAGTTGGTTGATTTTGAATTTAACGGTTTTAAGAGTTTATAATATTAATTATGACGGACAAAACTTTTAAGTACTGACGCTGTGTCTATCAAAAAATTAATGCTGTTGTCCAGCACTTGAACCTATTTCGAGAAACAATTAAAAAAATAATAAAGTTTAAATTCAAAAAATCATCTGGACAGCCTATCTTACATTACTTGCCGAGGGTTGAATAATGTTAATCTGAATGTTAAAAGTAATCGACCCTCACCACAGCTGTTCACAAAATCAGACAAAATCTTTAATACCAAAAAGAAATAACGGATATAAAGATTTAGAATAATGGGACACAAACTTGCTATAGTTGAATCCAACATTAAAGCATTATAAAATGATCAACTGACATGAATTTCTGCAATTTTTATTTAACAAAACAGTTTGACAACTGCTGATGAATTAACATAATACTTAAATAAAATAATTTACGGCAACTTATTTCAATATTAATTTATTCTCTTTCAAACTTAGTCGAATTTTTCGATTTTCTGAAAAATGGATACAGAACTAAGTTTTACATTCGTGCATCATATGCAGGAACTGCTAGAGTTTTATTTTTTTCGTACAATACAGTATAGTGTCAGTCGTGATTTAATATTATTTAAAGTGTTAATTTAAAAGCAGTAATGTAGTTTTTCGTTAAAAGAGGTCCGTAAGATGCTAATTAATTAGATTGATATCAAGAATTTTGCGAAAAAGTGCGTTATCATATCTAAAAAGTCCAAAAACATCTCTTTCCTGAAAAAAAAGTTTAAAACAACAACAATCAAGTTTTTTTTTCCTTTTATTTCAAAGTTTTCTTGGCATCGATATCAGTATATCTAGTGTATCTTTGTGAAATTTAATCCTCCTCATCGATTACTTCCATCCCACAAAATAATGTATTGAACTTTCCTAAGTTTTCTTTATGTGAATTAGTTTTATAGGTCTCATAAAATACAAATATAGTTCTTTAATAGTTCCATTATTTCATCTCATCTCTTTTCTTTTAAAAGTATGAATACTTCCTATATATTTATGATTCATGATGTGAAGAATACTGATCTAGATTTTCAAAATAATTTATATTTTTAGCATCATGTGTTTATCGTGCTATGTCGTTTAGAGAAACTACTTAAATGTGAAGTGACTTATAATACACAAATAAAAAAAATAATCATTCTAACTCCATCATCCACAACTGCATTTCCTTTTAAGGATGAAAGTACATTACTGTAGCCACCCACTTATGTTATTAAATTGTATAATATACCAAAATTGAGAGATGAAAAGAATGCTCAATGTGTGCACAGTGTATTAAGAGCTAAAGTCTTCATCTACTACGGCAGAGAAGAAAGAAAAAGAAGAATTAATGTCATAGTTACAAGTTTAATGAAATTAAATTTAATAAGAAAAATGGCATATGAGTCAAATGTACTTTACTCATCACCTTTGTATGGATTGTGGTGAAGACTAAACAACAAAAGAGGCCTGAAAAATCCAAGATAAAAAATTAATATTATAAAAAAAAGGTTTATTGTGCAATTTAATTTTTTTGGATCTTTAGCTTGGTAAATATTATTTCACAAAAGAGAGATAAAAACAAAAAAAAAATAGTGTTAATTGGTGATAATTAGGCTCAAAAGAAAGCCATAACAAGATATTATTGTCTTAAATTACACAAAAAAAAAAGCAAAGAGAGGCAAAAGATATCAGTGAAAAAAAAGTAAAGAAGATAAGAAAACATAATGGTACTTATGGCGCTCGGTTTAGTAGACACTGTGACGAGTGAAACATCACCTACAAATCAGTCAAGTACAGAAACAAATCCATATAAAATAACCAACAATGATGTACTCAACACCGGATCAAATAACCTTCCATCGACATATGTGATGAAGGTTTTTGGAAACTTTGTAGCATCTCAATGCGAATCTTCATATTCACTTCAACCGCTTTATTATCATATAGGCTGTGCATTCTTTTTATTAGCATTTTTGGCACCGAGCTATCGTTATGGTCCCGCACTTTATATGAGATGTACGTTAATATTCGGCTGTATACTCTTCCTTATGTGGTCATATCTGGTCGAATGTCGACCTGACGTACTCATATGGACTATACTCTTTTTATTCGTAAACCTTATTCATATGGCGATATTAATCTGTAAACTGAGACCGGTTAAATTTGAGAAAGAGATTGAGGAGGTGAGTAAATCATTCATATACACTTTACTTTAAGCTTTATGTATGTACATGTATGAAGAGAAATAATAATAATAATCATCATCGTCAGCAAGCTTGACTTTTGAATACATTGACATTTTAAATATTCATGATTCTCTCTCATTCTCGAAGTTTTCTTCATTATCTCTGTGCCTTTTCATGAAAAATGCTTCAATTATTATTATATCATGGTCCTCGTTTAAGAAAAGCTCAAGAAGAAAGAAAAAGTTCACCTCTTTTATGAAAAGACACAAATTCAGAACAGTAGCTGGTTTGTATCCTATTATGCGGACAAAATGTGGCATTAAAAACTGGCGGAAGCAATAAAAAAGAGAAAAAATTACTTTTATCGATTTTCCATTGTGTAAAAATTACTCGAAGAAGAAAAAGGCGATATAAAAATGAGAAAAAGAGTGAAAACATACTAAACAATCATATATAAAAGTTTGCCTAAAGCTTTTCAGTACGGAATTGAGTATCATAAACAAAAATCAAATAGAGAAGAAGAACATGCTTCCAACACATATATTCCTAGCTTCGCCTGAGAACAAAACAATAAATAAGTCTGTAAATGCTGTATTATTTGCTTTATTGCAGAGGAAAATGCAAACGTAATTGAATGTATATTCTAGATCACAAATATAACTCCTTTCATATTTTCCACCGTATCTATCTGACGGGAGCTTATTATATGTGTTCTCATCAAAATTCAAAAGGCATAAAGTCGGCACGAATGAAAAAAAAAGGCAAACGAAATTCATTCTGGTGAAACTTAAATTTTTCCTTTATTTTATTTTATTCATAAGACCTGTATGAATGTATACATAAGAACTTAAAATCTAAAAAAAAAAATAAGAGAGAAAAGAAAAGTTTTGGCTATTTTAAGCACGTCTTGTGATTGATTAAATTAGGTAATAATTGCTTTAAAAGCTGTTTTGCTACTTGGAGACACACTTTTGATACTTATTGGAAAAAGGCACACTTCCAAAAGTCGATGAGATTTTGTCAAGAAGAAGGAAATTAATTTGCATACAAAGCTACTTAAATACTAATACTGAATTTCTTCCCGTGCGACACAAAATTCAAAAGGCAATTGTATTTTGACAGCTACTTTGCAAACGAAAGAATTCTTGTCACGTGGCAAGGTTATGTAGACATTAATTTTCACATAACCACAAAATCATCAATACTTGATGTATTACAACGATCGTTTACGACAGTCGCTTAGCAACATAATGGCATTTCAATCAGCTACACAGCTGTAAATCATTTGATAGCAGACTCTTTAATTATTAACATTATTGCATTGTCAAACTTTTGTGTCACTCGGGATTATTTTCTGTGTTCATGATTTGTAATTATCTTTTTTTTCTCTAAAGAGTTGTAATGACTGCTTATTAAAACTATTACATAAAGCTACTCTAATGGGCACATTCGTTTCATGTTCTAGACCTAATTAATCTCATAAGCAGTCTTGTCCTCTTTGGCGATTTCGAAATATGATTCAAAAAAATTCAATTGCTAGTCCGACCTAATCTAATTATCTGAATTCTAATCTACTTAAAGACATTAAAGGCACTTGAGTTGATTAAACTTCTTTCTCATGCATTATAGAATTGTAATTTTTGATGCAAGATAATACAAATGCATTGATGTGCAGCAAATGGCTATTATGTTTCCAAAAGCACATTTGAAATGAACTTTTCTAAAACTTTTATGGACTTCCTTATATTCCGGACAGTCAAATGATGGCAAGGCTTTTTGGTATCCAATTTCATCTCCATTTCCAAGTTTCTGCTCAAATTGATATTTTTTACGCATTAGCTTCAATAGTGGTTCAGTCAAATATAAAGAAATTATCATTTCAATAAATAAGCAAATTGTTAAAGCTAATAGTTGTGTCATCCAACGTAAGTCCGAAAAGTTTGTGTGCATTTTTGTGAACGTGATGAGAGTCATGGTTGATAATAAAGTATTAATCAAAAAGTATTTTGGGAACAAGACTTCTTGGCACATTCCAAATGTATGTCGAGGCAATGAGAAGTATAAAGCGAGTCCCGATACAAATGTCATCCAAATCTGTGCACCAAAATGAGCAGCAAATGATCCCAAGTAGATGAAAGTCGTTAATGGGCATTTTGCTTTTACTGTCGTTTCACGATTCTCTTCTGGCCACACGCTGTAGCTTACAAGTAAAACTAATAAAATAGATGCCATGTGAGCTGGTTGAGTAGTCTTGGTTAAGATTCTATTGAGGGAAAAAATTAAAAATAACGAAATTTTTATCAGCAAAAGAACGAAATTTCATGGTGGCTTGGTGTACGTGACTTAAGGTGAATAGGCCACATTTGAATGAATTTTTTTGTTGTCGCGTATAGTAAAAAGAAATGAGATGATCTTTTTCTTTACGAATGATCCATCATCACGTGAGTTTGAGGTCATTTGACAAAAAGAATTCATTCCTTATGTTCAAAAAAGTATTAATTTTTTACTTACGTGTAAAGATTAGATTTATGTAGCTTCATGAAGCTATTGGAGAACTTTTTAACTATTCTCCTGGTATATTGTGTCGTTAATGCAAGATTATCAGATATGAAAACCTTTTCCACTTCCTCATCATTGAGAAATTTTTTGACGCCAGCGTCATCAACATTTTTTTCTATTTTTTCTTCAATGGGACGAGCCCCCAGAAATTCATTAATAGATTCACAGCAATTCTCAATTACTTTATTCACAGACATACACATGCTTATTATTATTTATTAAATTCACGATTTTTTTATGACTCTTGATTGTTTCGAACAATTCTTTACCAATTTTCAAATTGAACTGAACTGTCTAGCGTGATGAACGATTATTTAAAGAAACTTTAAAATTTTCTCCTTTACTCACATATGTACGTGAATGTTGCGGTCTGTGCCCTCTCTCTTTTATTTCGCTTTGTAATTTATTTTCATGTGTTGGTTTTATACGTTTTTATTTCGCGATGTCACGTGTATTTTTTTATTTTCTTCTCTATTTATTCTCAGCATCATGTTATAGATGAGCATTTATTTTTTTTTTTTAAATATTATTGTGACTTTAAACTTGTGATTTTTCTTTCATGACTGTATTTTCTGTCGTGTTGTCGAGCCTCCACATTTCTCTTTGAGACTTTGGACTTATTTTTTTTTTTTGTATTTAAGACTTTATCAGTTTGAGCGAGAGACAGTTTATTTTTAACATTGACCTTGAGCATTATTAAGGTGTCAAAAAATTCATGTAAAATCAATAAAATTATAAAAGAGGAAGCGACAGGAAAAAAAAAGTTTTTTTCAATGACAAACAGATATGCCTTATATGCTATGAGCTTGGTAATGAACTACTGATCTCATTTTACCAATGCATGCTCAATGAAATTTTCTGATGAAATTTTCCGTGTGTATTTTGAAAATCGAAATGTGTCTCATTTCCTCTAACAATTTATCGATAAGTCATTTATTGCAAAAGTCAAATATTTAACGGCACTTGTGATGATTCTCAAAAGAAGTGCGATTAAGAAGAAATTGTTAAAGATCGATGTACGTGATAAATCGTAACTGTTACTTCCAAATGATATTGAGACTTGTAATTGACGAGTTAACAGTCATGAATCGTCATGTCACATTAAACTTCGTATTCAAAATTTCAATATTTACTATACACATATTATAATATCTAATTCCACTTTGCGCAAAATAAATTGAAGACAACAAATAAATCAATTGTTTAATGCCTGTGACGTAAAGAAATGAGGAGAAAAAAAGATTGTGCTCTACTCGAGTCAATCAGCTGACATTGTTTCCCGCAGTTAATTTTGACGCAAATGTGCTTAATTCTGAAAAATAAAATATTTTCGTATCCGAATTAATATTCTTTTCCTTCATTGATAAATAAAACGTGATGTTAAGCGCTGATATATGAGACATCAATCATTTTTTTATACATATGTGACAAAACATGCATTTCCTAGTAATTATCGATTTTATTGAAAAACTCAAATTAAAATTATGTCAAGAACTATCTCAAAAACGATCATTCCGCATAATTGCTTTCGCAGAAATAAATGTTAGTAAGGTTGCTGCTGTATAATACTTTTATGAGAGCGCTTTCTTGGTGAGTAATCTTCTTGTGATTTCCCCTACGTGCAATTTCGTTTGTCTGAAGATTTTTCTTTGAAAAAGTATAAAATTTTTATTCTATAAATGCAATTGCGGGGAAAACAGGATCACACTAATAAAACTGAATTGTATTACTTCCAGACTTATATCTCTGAATTTTTAAGATCATTTTGCAATTCAATTTCAACTTTATTGAAATTTAAAAGTTTTATGTTTGTGGAGATTAATACTTTTAAACATTAAAGGTCAGATTTATGTCATTTCTGATTCCTTTACTTGATTTGAACCTAATCAATTGCATTAAACTTACATCAGATCTAGTAATTTAACCTAAAACTGGATCTATTGATAAAATAACATGCAAACTCTTAAGTACGCCTAGAAACTCTTTGAACTTGAATCTTTCTAAAGTTTATATCCATCAGAGACGATCAAACTACGCCCCTGAAAGTACCGCATCTCAAAGTTTGCAATCTTCTGTATCAAATCCAACAGGAACTCGTTGCATAAAATAAAATTCCATTTCATTAAATTTTCCAGTTGCAAATATCTTATTAATACAGACAGTCTGTCACAGCTGTACAAGCTGAATACATTATCATAAATTCGCAAGGAAATGCGTTAAAACTTTTTATGCATTCGCATATATCCATTTATGTATAATCTAAGTTGCATACATTAAGCTTTATACCATTTTTACAACTAATTTGTGATGCAATGAAGTCAAAAACAGAATGAAATTCGAAAGAGAAGAAGAGCCTAAGGTGTGTATGTAAGTACACATAAGTATTAACGTGCGATAACTATCGTTTGTAGTAAGTTCAATCGCCAGACGTTAAACATAAAACGAGAGAGAATAAAAGGAATGAAAATGAAAGAAAATATGTTAAAAATCGAGCTTGTTGCTAAGCGCTATAGCAGCAAGTGTGAAAGAAAGCGACAGAAAATCAACTTTGCTGATTAAATATGTTTTATTTCATTAATTGTTAGTGTATAACGTGCATTTTTTTGCCAATAAATGAAAAAAATGTTTGATTCAGCTTTTTTTTTAAATTTTATTTGCAGGTATATGTTGCGCTCTTCAAGCCCCTTCGTGTGTCACGTCGTCGATTCAAAAAAATTTTAACATGCTTGAAGACCGTGCGAAAATTCAAGAGTCAGGAAATTTATGTACAAGAGAAGATATCGAAAGTCGATAGTTTAAGCTTAGTTTTATCAGGAAAGTAAGTATAGAATCGTATCGACACATATGTCTTATTCATGAAATGTAATTACATATTCAAACCAATTAGCCATGAATTACTGGTAGGATGGAAACAATTTTCATTGAGAATTAGTTGCTCTACAAAACTATCGATTCCATTAAGGGATTATTTTATTTTGCACATACGTGTCAATGTCTTTTTTCTATGAATTGCATTAAAATATTCACGTATGCCAATAGATTCAGTTGAATCTTAGACACTGAATGATGAGAAAAGATATGATGATTTAGATATACTTGGCACGTTCAATTTCATGTGGATTTGATCATTTTTTTAAGATGAGTCATATGTGACAAACTGTTTGGGTGTAAAGTCCTTCATTTTTTGGTCATCGTTAAGTACACATGTATGTCAAATATTGAATGCTTTTAAATCTCTGCTTCTTCTTTTTTGAAATACGAGAATCTCAAATTGAACAAGATAAGCTAAAAAATCAAAACATTCTAAAAAGTTCCAGCAAAAATCCTCAAATAAGAACAAGAACATCAAACATTATTTCCTCAATATTCAAATATCAGATTCGAGTGAAACTCGATGAAAAACATAAATCGATGATTCAGAATGTACAAGCATCGTAGAAATTGTATCAACACAATTGGATCAAAATCATCAAAACAACTTGTTGAACATTTTGTTTACAAATTCTGACGAAAAAGAATATTCTAAATCAAAAAACGTCAAAACACTCGTCACAATAAGACAAACAAACCAAATTTAATAGTGACTGCCTGTCACACGTGTATGAAAATTTAAAGACTAAGATCAAAACAATTATGAATGACGAAATTGGCAAGCAGTCTTGTGACACTGACTATTCCAATTTTTGATTCATTTCTAAAGAAATCAATTGTTTGTTTTAGAGCTGTAAAGTTCAGTAGAAATGAGATTTAATTAAAAAATTATAGAAATCCCATCGTGAGCAGCTACTTAACATAAATCTGTAATTTTTCGGCATCTTCAATAAATATATTATAGCGACTTTAATTTATTTACTAATCACTTGAAATATAAGTGATCATTAGTCACTAATTCGTAGAAATTTATTCAGCTAAGCATTAAATTTTTTCATAGTCGTTTCCATCATTACTATATTCCACATAGGGAATAAACTTTCATGAAATTTTCACTCCGCTTAAGTGACAGAAAAATTGCTTATAAATTATGCACTGACAGTAAAAGTGTCTGACAACAGGCGTGGCCTATTAAAAAGAAAACTGACAGTACTTAATTAACACGCTTATTCCATTCTTTTCTTGCTCTTTTTCATTCCCTCATCCGTCTACCTTGAAGATTCGTCGTCTCACAAAACCAAAAAGCACTTCACATTGTGTTTCCAAATCAGTTCCTTGATTCGCCAGAGTATTTTGGAGTTAGTACAGATGACTATTTTAACGTATCAATAACATGCATTGAGGATGCACGGGTACTACAATGGCATCGAGATAAACTCAAATTATCAATTGATGAATATCTTAAAACGATGTTTGATCATATTCTTGCAAAAGATGTAGTGAAAAAGCTCATGCAGGTATCACAGGTATGTTGTTAAGAAGTAAGAAAAACACTCATGATGACTGATTAAAGCGCATTTTTTGTTCAATTGATTCGAAAATTGGAATAAATTTATAATTTGAGAATATTAAAGGAGTCTTTCACAAATAACTTATATCAAATCTTAGGATTTTAGAGCTAAGAGCTTCAATCTGCTTCAATCGCTTCTTGTTTCAGGAATAGAGGAATGTAAAGCTCTTCCTCGACCCCCATGATTTTTGTCGTCATAAGTGAAAGACTCCAAATAATACGAGTATGTGGATCCAATTCTTGGACCAACTCCAGTCAGCTAAATGAAATTTATTATGCTCAAGCTTTCCAAAAATGCGTTAAAATTATATTGCAGCAGTAGCATAAAAGCATAATAGTATAAAAAGCATGACCTAATAAAATATGAATGTATATATGATAGGTCAGTGAAACAATGGCACAAAGTAATGGCTATATTACAACAAATTGCGTTTATGATGAGGAGGATAAGCCGATGTTATTAATGAAAAAGTCAATTGATAGTCAGGGAAACGGTCTTACAGCTTTAATAAATAAGCAACTGCAAGGTGAGTCAAAAATATTTTTAATAGTTTATGAGAAAATTTAATGGATGTTTGCTATTAGCTAGTCTGTAGTTCATAGCCGTGGAATGATAATCCCCATCAACATTAAATATTATGCATGCAGAACTTTCCTTTTTTATGCTGTTTTCCTTTTTTTGTTTTGGCATATTTTTGATTTTTGTTAATTTTTTATCATTCTTTCTTTTTTCTTCCCCCCCGCAATATGTTGTTCATTTTTAAAATAAATATATACTTTATGTTAATGCTCGATTTATGCTACCCCAAAAAATCTATCTATAAATTGCAACTACGTAAAAACAAACTTTTTTGATGTTAATTTTTTTGAAACATGATTGATGAAATTTTTGAATGTGAAATAAATCCCCTAAATGCACACCTACACACAAAAAAAACTATCCAAACTCAATAATAGCTGATAATCTCGAGCATGTTCCACTGCTAGTCACGCCATCATCACAATATAAACAAAATGCATCAAATTTTATTAAGAACAATAAAGTGACAAATGGAAATGGTTTTGTTGATAATAATAGCGAGCAGCAACAACATCAGCGAAATCACATTCGTCAATCCCAAATATCACCAGTTTTATTATCCAGCAACACATCAGCTCAAGTCATGAGATCACGATTGAATCAATACAGAACTAATAATGTCATTGTCAATTTCGATGAAAATGGAACTGAAACGACTGTTGGAAGCGAAATGAAAAGCAAAAAGAAGAAGAAAAATTCAAATTATGTTGCTGATATTTAGGTTTCCAAATATGTATTTTACGTATATATAAAAAAAAATTTAACTCAAAAAATTGTATGCTCTATTTTTTTGGTGAGTTATGAAATATATGTTATATCAATAGACTAGGGTTGGAAAGGGATGTTGCCAACAGCTGGCAAATATACTCAATATGATACATGTTGTGCTGGTCGTTGGCAGGAAATTCTTCGCTGGCAGTGGAAGAGTTTGCAAATATTTTTGACGACAGAATCGCTGATCATGAGGAAAAATTGGCAACAATGTCATATCCATCATGTGAATGTTGACTTTTTTGAATTCTTTTGACTCTATTGACACTTCTAATTTTGAGATTATCGTGTTATTAAATGGAGCTATTATTGACTTTATATGTCAAGAAAACGTAAATTCCTCATAGTTATGTAAAACAGCAAAGTTCAATGAATAGCTTTAAGGTATTAAAATGTCATGACAATCTTATCATTTCTGTGTTTTCTATTCAATCAATGAGTCATGTCTTTCTTAAAAAAAACTGATTCCTTTAAAAAATAATTTAAGGTTTTGCTCAGTTTTGCTGTAGTTTCTGAAGTCAATAAATCATAAGATTGATGCCATTGACTTTTGAACTTGACGATCAAGAAAAACAAAAGTTGAACTTCGTTTGTTTCATGCTTAACCTTAGATTGCTCAAAGTTATGAGAGTTTGAGGAACAGAATATTAGTATAGCGTACTTATCAGCTAGTGATTCTCAAATTTGAACACAACTTTGAAGTTTCGGCGGGAAACTTAATTTCCATAAAGTTAAATTGGAACTCAATTATAATTGGTAAAGAAGTTCAGGCTAACGCCTTAAGGTTTTTAATCTTCAAACTTTTAAGATAATTCAACAAATTTTCAAATTTGGCTCAAAATTCCTTTATAAAAATAATAATGTCCTCAAAAGTCTACTCCAATCTCTGCCACTACTAGCATGATATTCTCCTATTTTCCAACCCTATTAAATTAGTTTAATGTTACTTGCACATAGAAAAACTTTCTTTATAAATGTTTCCAAAAAAATTGCTTCTTTTATTTCCTCAAAAAATAATAATTTATTTCATTTTCAATATTTTTATTCTTTCTTTCATTTCTCAAACTTTATTTCCCATTCAATCCGTTTTTATTATGCGATTGTGCTGATAAATTTGATATATATTTCACTTTATGTTATTGATACATGTTTTATTGATACAAAGATTTGGAAATGAACAGAAGAAAAAAAAATCGAAAATTTTCCATTTCATTAAAGTGTCGAGAAAAATTGATGTAGCATCTTTAAAAAAGCGCAATTAATTAACTTAGTTATTCTTTCTCATGAGAAAATGTAATTACAGCAATAACTCTTTTTCATAACTTTTTTGTCTTCTTCCTCGTCTTTCTTCTTTTAATTTATTGAACACGTAGCTTTGCCTAGGATTTCTAAATACTATTATTGCGGTAAGTTTAGAACATTAGTGATGGGAGTTGTTGTCAGGATATCATTAGAATTCTATTAGTTGTTATTAAATTAGGCTTAATTTGCACACAGTTCCTACTAACATCACGTAGTCATTTAACTATTTTAGGGAATATGAAGTCACTTTCCAAATGTCTTCATTCATAAAAATTGTCAATTTGTAAGTGTGCAGCTGATAAGTTAAGCTTGCATTTATCGCGAAGTTTACGTTGAATTCTGGCAACACAGTTAAAGCAAATGTTTGTAGAGTCAACAAACATTCTACAATTTGTTTATCAATAACCTTGAAATCTGATGAATGCAATCATTTTATAAAGGTTGGAAAGCATTATTAAGATTCTGATTTTGACTAATAAAATTGAAAACTAAAGACTAGTTATTGCAAGTATTAACATTTACAATAAGTAAGGACGTAGTTAGAAGAATCGAAATCGATTTGAATTTTACTCAATTTTGTTTTAGAAATATTCAAATTGGCTTGATTCTAGAAATTCAAAAATCATATCAAATTTTGATTTAGACTTCATTAAAAACCATAAAGTCAGAAACAGATCTTTCATAAGTTTTCATTTCCAAATTATTTAATTACTGAAAGTAGCGATTCACTTGATACTCAACATCTTCAGTTTCCTCATTAAAAATATAATTTTTGAAAAATCATAACTTTTAAAGAAGTTGCTGTATCATGTTTACACCCGTTAAATTGACTCAAAAATTTCTCTACTGTTAAAGCTATAAGCTTAATATTAACAGCATATCATGTGAGATAAGAAACAGTAAATATGTAGAAACACCGACGGTTCCAGGGAATTAAAATAAACTTTAAATTGCTTCTTCAATAATTTTAAAATTTATAGATGAATAAAAAAATGCCGCTAAGACTAGACATCAAGTTTATGAATGGGCACTATTAAGAAAAATTTGTCAGCGATTAATCTTTAAGCTATTAAAACAGTGTTTGCCGCTTTGCATTTTCATTTTAAAATGAAATTTTTCTGGTCGACTAAATAGAAATTGGATTTTATGCAGCAATTGTGCACAGAATTGAAGAATTTCAATTTAGATGAATACATATTTGTGCATAGGATACAGAATGCTTAATAGCATCAATTTAAAATCACAACTTTGAATCGATACCTAAAGTTTCACAAAAAAAGGTACAAACGGAAATAATATCATTAGGAAATCCAATTTGCCGAATAATTTCCTCACAAAAAAAAGCGAATAAATGAAGAAATTTGAATTTCGATGACTTTAAAAATGCCAATATTCCGATATGTAGCAGACGTTTTGGGTAACTGACCCATTTAAAAACCGGTCTGTTTTAAATATCCCAGAAAGATGTTGAATTTATTTTTTATGGTTTGTTGTAAAGATTCAGTTTGAGATATCCTGATGACAACTTTGAATGTTTAAAGCAAACATTAAGTTTGAGGTTTTGATAAAAAGAATCAGAATAGCTGGAAGTCGACAAATTCCTAAAATTAAGTTTTAAACAAATGGTACATAAGTGATCAAAGTCCATTTAAATGTTCAGAATATATGAATTATTCAGTTCTACATCTTTAGACTAGGTCCTTTTTCCTCTATCGAGACTACTTTGGAAGCTACGTAATTAGATTTTTCACTTTGTTAAAACAATAATAGAACATAGCTAGACTATGAATATGTAGAAATTCTAACCCGAATGTGGAACTATTGTTATATTGAAAATACCACAATTCGAACAATTATTATATGATAAAATTGATAATTTATGCATTTTATTCAAATTCAATTCTAATTTCTTTTATTCTCTTCCTCTTTCCTATCTTTTTTTCCATTCCACAGTGGGCGATATAAATGCGAAATTAAATCGAATCGATGAGAGTGATAATGACGAGACTTCAGTTTAGTGGGGTGCATCGTTTTAGCTTCGAATAGTAAAAAAATTCTAAAAATAAGGAAAAATGTTTCATAAAACATGAGCAACATATAGCTAGTGTTCGACTATACTCTGGAGGACTCTTGGTCATCGTTCTTTTGATTCTTTTATTTATTACCGATGTTTATTGAGGAGTGATAGCTTTTGGATGGAGAAAGACTAGAACTTGATAAACTTAACATAGAAATTGCTACAGATTATTTCAAGTCAAGCTAAACCAATTAATTCGTATTTTTCCAGCTTGTTTAAAATAGTCTGTAGCATATTCTTTGTTTATTAATCAAGTTAAACCTTCCTGTTGCCAAAAATTAAATTCCAGTCGATTCATCTAAGTTAGATCATCTTTATTTCCTTTATCAAATTTTATTGGGATTTTAAAAAGTTTTACTCAAAATTACACGAATTTCTGGTGATAGATCTGAAAAGATAAATATTTATGATCTAATGTCCAAGAACTGATTATGGCCATAGAGATAGATATTAATATAGCACCAAAATTAAATTCAAAGATGATCCAATTTTATGGAAATGACTGAAATTCAGCAAGTTTCGACTTTATTCGGATGAGAACAAAGTTTGGATGGATAGAATTATTGAAAATATGTGACTTATTGGCATGAAGCACCAATCGATAAAATATTTGCATGCAAGTTCACAATAGTAATAACTTTTTGAGCCTTTTCCAAAATAACTAGATTTTTATAGCTTGCATCGCAAAGAACTTTTTTGGGAATCATGTAAGATCAATTAGGAACATTAAATAAGTTTTGTATTGACGTTTGATTTTAGTTTGAATTTTTATTCCATTCCTGAGAAAGAGTCATGATTCTCAGCTTCCGAAATATTTATCTATGAAGCTCTTAACAAAGAGTTTAAATGCAAGATCCCTTAACCTGGAGACTTGCTTTAGGATATAAAACTGTATTAAATTGTATGGGTGACCAACCTTAGGACTAGTCGTAGTAAAAGCTATAAAACTTGAGATGGTTGTCAACAGGAAGTTTAGGGAAGATGAATCGGGGTTCTGAAGCTTTAATGGCAAAGGATAGACATGGCAAGAATCACGGCAGGCAGCATCAGAGATTACTCAAACAAAAGCTATCACACCTTGAATTTCAACTATTTTATTTGTACCTGCATTTATGCAAATGAAAAGGAAATCACAACATTTCAAACTACTATCATCATTTGTTTAAGATATAATAAAAAATATAAAAAAAAGTTATTTATTGTATTGAAAGATATAAATTATAATGAAATTATACCTACAAAAAAAAACTTATAAATTAAAGTAAATTATTATAGAAGTTTCAATTTATGAATACTTTTAAAATAACAGATTCAAAGATTAAAGAGATACCAATAATAATAAACGATTATGATAATAATTGTATTGTGCTGAAAAGATTTAATTAAGCGCCTTTAAACCCAAGTAATTACTAATTTAGATCAATGTTGTCTAAACTGTGTGACGCAAGCCGCATGCTGTGTGTGACATTGGTGCTGTGGCTCAAAAAGTTTGGACAACACTGATTATGATCGAAAAATGCGATATTTTAAAAGCAAACATTTAAATTCTCATTTTTTTTATAAATCAACGAGGAAAACTTGCCAAAAAAAAGATTTTTTTTACGTGTGGATTGATTTTTTATTTTATTGAATTAACAAACAAAAAAAGTTTTGGAGAAAAAAAAAATGATGATTTTATTGCATTTTGTATTTTATATGATAAGAAGCTTTATTGTCATGTCCTTAATATTTTCTTGGAACTAAACAAAATATACTGAAAAAGTATTAAAATGAATTTAATGCGGTGTTGAAAGATATTGAATGTTTTTAATTTTTGCAAAATAAAAAAAATGTGTAAAAAGAGAATTTAACTCAAAAAAGCTCCCAATAAAAAAATAAGTGTTGAAAAAATAAGTCTCGATTTCTTAATTAACTCTCTTAACTGTCATTTGAGATTTAAAAATTAAACCGGTTTTCAAAAATTTGAATTTCAGAAGTATTAAATTTCAAATTTTTAAAATCCGTTGAATTAATTTAAATTTCAGCAGTATGTTTTGCTGGGAATATAATTCTCAATTGATTTCACAAAGATTATTAATCATAAAGCACTGACACAGCGAATAAACGTTTTACAGCAGCAAATAAAGAACACGTGTTTTCGATGTTTAAAACAAACTTACATGTGGCGCAACATCCGAGAAACATTGAAATGTTGCATTCCGATCTACGACGCATTTAGCATTCGCTAGACAATTTTTAATTTAATTAAGCGTGTTCCTGCATGCTGCTTACATTTCTAAAAGAAAAATATCATCGCAAATTTTGCTGCCAAAAAGAATGTGCGAGAATCTAAATATATCTGACACATTAACACCTTTACCTGAAAAATAAATAATTTCCACAAGAATCAAAGCCTCAATATTTTTTATTTAACTTGATTTGAAATTGTTCTTCCTCTATTTTTATTTCAGAAAAAAATTATTGTTATAAATTCAAGATGAATAATAAAAATTATGCAATGAAAAAAGCTTCAAAAAGGGGATATTAAAGTGACATGTTTGATTTATAGCAAAAAAAAGGTAGGTTCTTTATGCTCTTTGATTAAACAAAAGCTTCATATAAACTATATCCATTAATAAGAAAAAGCATCCATTCATTAGATATAATAATAATTAATATCTGTTTTATAATCAATCAAAAAAAAAAAAATAATGTTCAACAAGAGAATTCGCTATCTAGTTAGAAACGCAACAATGTATATCTTGGATTATACGTGAAAAGACGACACAATCAAAGACAAAAAGTAGGTAAAAGGATATTTAGAAAATTCTCTCGTAAAAGAGCAAATAAGCTTGCGCATTCAACACATCAGTTTCAGACGCTTCACGAACGTGACTGTCACTAACGTAATACCACTTTCCAGGCAATGGCTTATCCGTTTCGGGCTCATCGGAACCACCAACTGCATTCTCTTCTTCATCATCTGATGTTTGGGACGATGATGATGTATTTGAGATGGAATCGTCGCTATCTTTTGTCATTGACATTTGTCGTTTCTTGACCTTTTCCGTTTGTTTTTCTAAAATTATCTTTTGCTCGTCCAATTGATCTAATTCGGTTTTTGTTCCATGTGCCAAAAACTTCCAGCGTGGATCTTCTTTTGTTATTTTTGGACGAACTTTCACATAAGCAACATAATGTCCACCTAGATATACGAGAAATAAAGGTATTATTATGATTTTATTAAAGAAATGCTAGAAACGTGAGGAGAAAAAGCAAAATATGCTAATCAGCAATCAAATGTTAAGAACTGTCGTTAAGAATTTAAATTTGTTTTAAAAATAACGGTTTCTCGAATTTTAATTTAAAGATCAAAATAAAATTCAAATTTTCAAAAAACGTTGCAATCAATCTGAACTGAAAACTAGCCAGTCCTTAAAACAAAAAGCAGTAAATCTTACCAAACATTCCTCCGGAGTGTTCAACGATTCCATAAAGGGAATACAAAACTTTCTTCTGATGACGTTTAACATGATGTAAAAGTTTAACTTTTGATGCACAAAACGGCGCAATATCAAGCACGAGAGGAAATGAGACATGCTTTGGAATCTTCCTAAACATTCCACGCATACCAACTTGAAAACGTTTCAAATGCAATATGAGAACAGCTGGTGGACTCGAAATCAAGAATTGTTTTGTGGCATTTGTATTAACTGTCTTTCCTTTCTTGCCATTAATTCGTTCCGTGCATGCCTCACAACCAACTTTATTACTTCCAGTCATTAATTCGACTGACGTAAAATTGTTTAGACATGATTGAAGGGAAAGTTCACCTTCTGGACATTGCAAACGTGGTGATAAAGTATTACTCCAATCAATATGCGAAATTAACCTTTCTCGTTGTTTCTGTTGGCATTTTTTTTGTTGTGCCTTTATAGCCTTTTCACGTTCAGCATCATCAATTGTCTCATTATCTTCAACCTTAATTTTAGATATTTGTGAATTTAAATTGGCAATGCCAGAACTACTAATGCTCATTTCACATACTATATTGTTAACTTCTTTACTTGCTTCACTCTTGAACGGATTCTCGGGCATATCGTCTAACTTCTCGGGATTCTGTGGTGACAAAACAGTCTCTGGACATTGATTTCCATTCGCATCACAAACAACTTTTTTATTTGATTGCTTTTCATCAGTTAAATTGTCTTCGACATCAGCATCCGAACTTAATAGAGATGAATTTGATGATAAATCATCATCATCTCGTTCCTTTGTTTCGACATCACCTGCCAATGGCTTCAATTCAACTTGATCACCAAATGCATTTGAGAAAATTTTACGACTTTGATTTTTTTGATTTCTTTTGGACTTTCGTTCTGCACGCTTTTCACGTTTCATTTGTGATTTTGATGGACCGCTGCTTGTTGATGGCGGATTAGTGACTGGTTCTGGAGATGCTTTTCTTCTGGTTGGTGGCTGTGGTTTGTCAACAGTTACAGGCAATGAAATATCAAGGAAATATTCTTGACGCGGTGAAATATGATTACAATCTTGACATGTTAATGTTGACACCATATATCCTCTAAATAATGGCTCTGGAACTAAGATTCGTTCTTCAGCCTTCTTGCCAAAATATTTAATCTTTTGCTTATCTTCATCGCGAACATGTTTTGGATCAACTTTACTATTATAGCCCAATTCTCTTAAAATAACGGATTGAAAGCGACGTAAATCTTCATGACGTACACTTTCTAGTAAATGACGCAGTGCCTCATGAGAATCATGTTGATCGCCACCACCAAATTGTGGCCACTTTGTTGTAAATTGTGAAAGTAATTCACGAGGTGTAAAAACTCCACCGGATCGTTGTAATTGATCAACTGTATTATATAAGGCCTTAGTGATTGCTCCAGCTTCTCCAAGTTCACCTTTAATTGGTTTCAACTGAATTGTCTCTTCCTTTGTAACTACTAACTCTCCGCCAGGCAGTTCAAAGTTCTCTCGAGACTCAATGGCATCCGTTAAAATCTCAAGCAAGTATGGTGTTTGAGATAAGTTTTGAGTGACGGCATTAAAGAAACATGTATTGCCTAAATTACTTAATCCACGTACGCGAGGCAGCATAACATTGGTGCTATTACTTTCAGTATTTTCTTGATTCGTTTTTCGTTGTGACGGAAGTGTTAGATTGTATGAAACTGACATGGATGGCTCAGGAATTTCTTTCTTGTCGCTCGCTGAGCTGTTAATATTTGACAACAATGGAACTAATGTCTGCATTCCCATCTGAATCTTACTTTCCACATTATAAACATCAATTGGTGGTGGCTTTAATGATTCCTTTCTTATAAATGATATACATTCCAACAATTTCTTGTGACAATCTTCGGTCAGTTCCTCGTCACAATTATAGCACCAAATCATAAATGTTGTCGTATTTACGGTCAGCGCGTGCATATCACTATGTGCTTTCTACAAATAATAATCAAGTATGTTTATCAATATTTAATATAAATATTAATTATAGTAATTACTTACTTCATAATGAGCTATAGCATGTTTATTGACAGTTCGTCCACAAAATTGCAGTCCGCATCTTAAGCACATCCACAATGATCGATCATATTCATACTCATCGTCACCATCTCCAATGGTACTTACTGGTGACTTAAGTTTCTCACATTCAGAACAATTGGCACTGAAACCGTTTTGTTTTATGTACTTTTTGACTTTTGTAAAGTCAATTGACTTTAAAAGATGTGGACATTTCACTGACACTTTTGTATTGTCATCATTTCTGTCACGTTCATCGCCCGAATCAGTCGATGATCCATCATTTGTTTCCTTGGATGTTGTCTTAACCATGTCTGCTTATTCGCTGTAAGTATCAAACATTTCTTGATTAATCATTTAACCTCTATAAATGTCTAGTTTGTTCTATATTTAGAATTGGTATTTAGCAACAGTGACAAATTTACATAAACAATGAGTATGCTGGATATAAATTTTACTTTAATTACTAATTAATTGAATTAGTTCAAGATCTTCATTTGTTCACGTTGAAAATGAAGAAAAGTGAATTTTGGAGCTTAGCACTGAGTTATTGCCTGACCAATTAGCTACCCACGATACTTACAGTCTATTTAACTAATTCACAACTACTTTGACTCACTCGCATTGCAGAAAACCCTTAGAATTAATAAAATTCTCATAAAAATTGTAAAATTGAGACAAAAGAATGATGCAGAACGTGACACAGTGGGGCTTAATCACTTATTTACGGGCTTAAATGTTCTATGGCACAAGAAATGACTCGGAAACGACCGAAATGATTTTTTATAAAAAATTTTTTATTATTTTTTTGTTTTTATAAATTTTCAAATCAACTGAAAATGAATCCATGAAAAAAATACCTTTTTATAAGAATTTAGTATTATTAAACAGCTTTTTCTGTGCTATAAGTCAAGAATGTTATTTCTTTTTTAAATAATTAATGCATTAATGACATTTAAACAGTTAAAAAGCATTAAAAACGTTAAAAAAGATATCAACATCATTGACAAAGGATCAACTTTTGATTTTGAAATTCATGTTTTTAAAAAACGTTATTAAGGAACAGTTTTTATAAAAGTAAATAAACAGCAAAAAGGCAAGCAAAATTAGCCACTGAACATACGAAGTAATCCCACTTATTGATGCGAAAACTTTGTTTTTTCTTCCTCGAAAAAAGTGTAATATTTGTGGCTGAAATAAAATAATAAGGTTTTTAACCATTTTAATCACTTTAAATTAGATATTAGAACAATTCACAAGAACATTAGTTACATTAAGTATAGTAATATCTGATTTATAGGCAGCAATCTTTAATATAAATAGCTTAAAGTGGATAAGAATTATTTTGTGTGTTAGATAATAACTTTTCTCTTCATAAAGCACTTTTTTATTTGCCGAAATTACGTTTATCGTCTATTTTTAATTAATTTGGCAGTTCCATCATGCTCCGTGTTCCATTAACTCGGGCAATATGCTTGACACATTCATCGAGAGTTTTGGTCACAGCATCAGCTCGTTTACAGTCAAATATCCCTGCAAAAGCACCAGAAAAAGTCGAAGTTTTCATCGATGATCAGCCTGTTATGGTTGCTCCAGGCACAACTGTCTTACAAGTAAGTTTGACATCAACAGGATCTATATAAAGTTAATCAATAATATTGTTATTGTTAGGCTGCAGCGCAAATTGGTGTTGAAATTCCACGATTTTGTTATCACGAACGATTGGCAGTAGCTGGAAATTGCCGTATGTGCTTAGTAGAAGTAGAAAAGAGTCCTAAACCAGTCGCTGCATGTGCAATGCCAGTAATGAAGGGATGGAGGATCAAAACAAATTCAGAAATGACTCGTAAAGCCCGCGAAGGAGTTATGGAATTCTTATTAGCAAATCATCCATTGGATTGTCCAATTTGTGATCAAGGTGGTGAATGTGATTTACAGGATCAAGCTATGGTATTTGGATCAGATCGTTCACGTTTTACTGATATTGATCATGCTGGAAAGCGTGCCGTTGAAGATAAGGATATTGGTCCATTAGTTAAGACAATTATGACTCGTTGCATTCATTGCACTCGCTGTATCCGTTTTGCATCAGAAATTGCTGGTGTGGATGATTTTGGAACAACTGGACGTGGAAATGAGATGCAAGTTGGCACATATGTTGAAAAATTGTTCCTTACAGAGCTTTCAGGAAATGTTATTGATTTATGTCCAGTTGGTGCTCTTACCAACAAACCATATAGCTTCTCGGCTCGTCCATGGGAAGTCAGAAAGATTGACAGTATCGATGTACTTGATGCTCTTGGAAGTAACATTGTTGTCAGTACAAGAACTGGAGAAGTTTTAAGAATCCTACCACGCGAAAATGAGGATATTAATGAGGAATGGCTTTCAGATAAGTCACGATTCGCATGCGATGGACTTAAACGTCAACGATTGATTACTCCAATGCTTAGAAAACCAAATGGTGAATTGGAAGCTGTTGAATGGGAAACAGCACTTATTGGAGTAGCCCAAGCTGTTCAAAATGCAGGCGACAAAGTTGCAGCTGTCGCTGGAAGCTTAGTTGATGCTGAACAGCTTATTGCTGTTAAAGATTTACTCAATCGTTTGGGATCAGAATTGTTATGTACTGAACAAAAATTCCCAACTGCTGACGGTACCTCTGGAACAGACTTCAGATCCAACTACTTACTCAATTCATCTATTGCTGGTAAGTCATTTTGTGTCAATTTGTGCTTTCTGGATGTCATATGGGGCCATTCACTTATTACGTAACGCTTTTAGGGGGGGAGGGGGGGTCTAAGATTTTGTTACGGTTCAAACAAAGAATTTTTTTTTTCATACAAATTTTGTTACGAGGGGGGGGGGTCTAAAAAGTCATTTTTTCGCGTTACGTAATAAGTGAACAGCCCCTATCCAAAAAGCGCTAAGATAAATTTTTAACAACATTAAATTTTGAAATTTCTAAAATCCGGTATAATTTTATTTATTTTGCAGCATGCGAGGAAGCTGACTTAGTGCTCTTGGTTGGAACAAACCCTCGCTACGAGGCTCCATTGTTAAATACACGCTTACGTAAAGGCTATGTTCACAAGGAACAAGATATCGCATTGATTGGACCAAAAGTTGATCTTTCTTATCGCTATGAACATTTAGGAAACAGTTCATCAATTGTCCAAGATATTGCAAGCGGTAAACATCCATTCGCTCAACGCTTAAAATCAGCTAAGCGTCCTTTGGTTATTGTTGGTGCAAATGCATTGTCTCGTAGTGATGGTAAGGCATTCTTAGCTGGACTTCATTCATTTGCCAATCAATTAACACCAGAAGATAAGAATTGGAAAGTATGGAATGTCCTTCAAACAAATGCATCTCAAGTTGCCGCTCTTGATATGGGATATAAAGCTGGTGTTGAAGAGATTGTTGCAGCTGGTCCAAAAGTCTTGTTCTTACTCGGTGCTGATGGTGGTGCCATTAATAAAGATAATATTCCAAAAGACTGCTTTGTCGTTTATTTGGGACATCATGGAGATAATGGAGCACCTCTTGCTCATGCAATTTTGCCAGGCGCAGCTTATACAGAAAAACAAGCAACATATGTAAACACTGAAGGGCGTGCACAGCAAACATTAGTTGCAATTACACCACCGGGTATGGCACGTGATGATTGGAAGATTATTAGAGCATTATCGGAAGTAATTGGAACTTCATTACCTTATGATAATTTGGATGAAATTAGAGACAGATTAGAAGACGTTGCACCTCATCTTGTACGTTATGGACGTTTAGAAGAAAACAATTTCTATGCACAGGCTGCACAGCTTGCAAAAGTAAGTCATGCATTATTTTTAAATGACTCATTGACAATTTAAATTAATTTCATTTTAGTTGCAAGCTTCATCATTGCAAGGAGATATAGATGTCAAACAGCGAACACTCGCTGACTTCTTTATGACAGATTCCATCTCAAGAGCATCACCAACAATGGCTAAATGCGTGCAAGCTGTCAAAAAAGCTCAGGCAACAGCATAAAGAAATTTTTATGTATTTAGAAAAACGAGTTTTGTCATATATAAGCTGTAAACTAAATCTTTCAGAGGAACCTACCTTTGAGAGATAATCAAGAATGATTCAAAAGATTAAATTAAATAAAAGATTTAAAAATTTTAGATTTCAAACTGTTTTATTTCATTAGTTCCTACATAATTCAAGGTCAAACTATATATTTACATAAATATCAATTATAAATAACCTTAAGCACACATTTGGGGATGACAGGCTTAGATCTTAAAACCCATATCTCGCATACATTGTTTATGCTTCTCTATTAATTCGCTGCAGTTCTCTTCCCCGAATTTCAAAACACTGTAATTAAGTGACATCATTAATAGTTTAATTCCTTCTTTATTATCGTGATTTTCTTACCATTCATCACGAGCTTTCTTCGTCTCTGGACATGCACAACATGCTTTACACTTTGGTTTCTCTCCAGTCTCCTTATTCTCTACAACCTTTACTGGATCTATTGTTGCTGTTTGAACTGTGTTTCCCATTGTTTGATATTGACTATTTTTAGATGCTTTGGTAAGTTATGCACTTGATGGCTATAGATTAGTGCTTAGAATCAGCTATAATCTAGTTAATTCTTCGTTATTTAATGATTTTGTTCCAGAACAAATAATGTCGAAAAATCAGTGCAACCTCTTTGACGTATAAACTCTATAAGCTCAACAAATCGTTTAACGATACAAATAAATTCAAATCAATTGATGCGAATTTTTCTTACGGATATAAAAGTAAATATTCATAATTAACTCCATTTTTACTGCATAACAGCTGATTTAAGATACGACATTATGATTTTAACCATGATACACACTTTACCAAATATTCATATCCAACATTAACTGCAATCATTAGAGAAAACTGATAAGGACTTAGTTGACTCGGATTGGTTCTTGTTATTTTAATTATTTTTATCTCTATATTCTTTGTTGACTGTCTTTCCTTGTTTAAAATGGCCCAATTGTTTCGTAATCACTGCCTTAATCTCCTCCGTAAGCATCCATTTGTATTTGCATCAAAAATCAGTCCGAATTTGGTAGGTTTTGTTCTGATAATCTTTGACGTCATTTTAGCGCATGATTTTAATCATTTTTAATAGACTGGCAACCTGATTAAGAGGAACATCCAGACAACCCTAGCTTTAGAGAAGTTAATTACATTTAATTTGAGTGATATTGGTGAAGGAATTCATGAAGTTACGGTCAAAGAATGGCGAGTATTAAAATTTTGCAATGTAATGCAACAAGTGAGCTAACGTTCTATGCATATTAACAGGTTTGTAGAAGAAGGGCAGGTAGTAAATCAATTTGATAATATTTGCGAGGTTCAATCGGATAAAGCTTCGGTTACAATCACTTCTCGTTATGATGGAAAAGTAAATAAGTTGTATTACTCAATTGATGATATCGCACTTGTTGGCAAGCCACTTGTCGACTTTGAAATTGAGGATGATGATAAATTATCAGAGGATAGTGACTCTGAGTCATCGGCTTATTCATCCGATAGTGACTCAGAAGTGATTAGAGGACGTAAAATTTTGACGACACCAAGTGTCAGGAAAATTGCTAAGGAAAATGACATTGACTTGGCTAAAGTTCATGGAACTGGCAAGCATGGAAGGATCTTGAAAGGAGATTTACTCGAATATTTGAATTTAATTCCAAAAGGAACACAAAAACCACATCCAACGCTTAAGGAGACGCCAATCGATGAATTTTTGATTCCACCTCCTTTAACTCATCGTACTGTCGCTTCTCCTTTAGAGCATAAAGTCGTGCCTTTAAAGGGTGTTCCAAAAGTCATGTTCAAGTCAATGACTGAAGCCTTAAAGATTCCACATTTCATGTATAGCGAAGACATTGACATGACTAAATTGATTCAAGTTCGTAACGACTGCAAAGGCCAAGCATTAGCTCGTGGAATCAAATTATCCTACATGCCATTCTTCATTAAGGCTGCAAGTGTCAGTTTACACAAATATCCAATCCTTAATAGTTCACTCGATGTCGAACACGAATCAATCATTTATAAGCCATATCATAATATTTCAGTTGCCATGCATACTGCAATGGGATTAGTTGTGCCAAATATTAAGGAAGTTCATCATAAATCAATTATGCAGATTGCTCAGGATTTGAATATGTTACATGAGAAGGGATTAAAGGGACAATTGACACCAGAAGATTTCTCACACGGAACATTTACGTTAAGTAACATTGGCAATTTCGGTGGAACTGTCTTGACTCCAGTTATTATGTCGCCACAGGTTTGTATTGGTGCTTTGGGAAGGATTAGAGTTCTTCCACGTTTCGGTCCTAATGGAGAAGTTATTAAGGCTAGTATCATGAATGTAAGCTTCTCGGGTGATCATCGTGTCATAGATGGTACTACTATGGCCAGTTTTACTAATCTCTGGAAGTCATATTTAGAAAATCCAAATCTTTTCATGTTGGATGGACATTAGAGAAGCATTTTTAGACTAAAAGTCGTCTTTAGAAAGATTTTATCAGATTTTTAACCAGTGTGTGAGGTTTGTGGTGATTTTAAGGGATATTTTCAATGATTGAGCCTTGATGGGTGTTATAGGGTTCTAAAGTTTTGTAGTTGTAAGGTTTGGATAAACATTTATGATGATTTTAGCAAGGATTTGGGGGGTTTTAAACGAATTTATTTTTAGATTATTTCAAATTTTCAAAAGTCGTTAAGTTTGAAATTTTTATAAGCCGTTAAATCACTAAATCTAGAAAGTGCAATATCAAAGCAATACGATGATAATATCTCTTTAAATCCAGTCATAACATCGCTCACAAAATCAGATTAGTGTTTCTAAGCATTTAAGGAATCAAAGTGCAAATTTATAAAGGAACTTGATGCATTTATTACTTGACTAAAGAGTAAAAAACATATTTTTATAATAATTGTAATTTTAAGACTTACAACTTTATTTTTCAAGTGGAATATACATACAAAAAAAAACAATGTTGTTAGACAACATCCAAAATTATATTAAATGGTGAAACAATTAGACTATTAAATTGCTTATAATTTTTTCGTTTGTTTGTTGAATGATTAAAAAAAAATAATAATAAAGAAAAGCACAAAAAAGAATTCAATTCTTTCTTTTTAAACTAGTTACAGATTCTACAAAAGTTAAACATTGATAATCATATGCATTTTAGCACCAAAACTAAAGGAGATAATAACAAAAATAAAAACTTTTATAATCATTGATTCGTTAAAATAAAACATTTAAATGGCAAATAAGATTTTTTTGGAATGGCAAAGTCCTAAACACTATGGACAGAAATATAATTTGGTCTATCTTTAATAGCATTGAATGATCATGAATTCTTCCTAGCTGCATGTCAATAATTTTCTATCCATAGTTATTTTGGGCATTAACAACTAGAATAATAAATTTTGGTATTTGGAATTGGTTTAACAATTTTTTTGGTCGGTCCAGTTCTCCTTAATAATCTTAGGATCTAACTGAGATTTGATTTTTTTTTTGTGTGATGTCATCATGTCAATTGATGCTGGTTAATACAATAATTTATTTGTGGGTTTAGAATCGAGTTAATCTGCAACATTTGGTATTTATATCCAGGTGGCTTTTTTTGAGTGATCTAGGTTATTGCTTTGGTAACATACTTAATTCCTTGCTCTTGAAATCCTTAAAAATGTCGATGTCATGACGCTGAGATTAAGTTTTTGGCATTGTTGAGCACTTAAATTATTCCTTTTAATCAGTTACGCATTATCTTAACCCAAGTATTGTTGATATCAAAGGGGGGTTTTGAGCTTGATATCTTTTGCTAACCACTTAATACCTTTAAAGTCTATTGCACTTGTATTTCAAAGTTAGATAATTGGAATTAATACTTGTTGATATTTTTTTGAATGGCACGAGCTATAAATAATGAATTAAAACTGTTGATATTGGTTGATATGAGACTACCAAAGTTATTCAACTGATACTAGAAACCCGATTAGGCTATTGGATTGTACTAAGATTTACAAACTCAAAAAGGCATCTTTCTTAGCGAGATACTCGTTGTAGCGAATTTCACCGAACCTAAAGTGCGCAGCACAGAAAAAGACATGAAAATAAAAAAATATTTGATCATAAATAAAGATAATGTCAAAAATATAAATGAACTATACAAAAACAAATCATTGCGAGCAATTAAAGTTTATAAGAGGTTTCTCAAATGAGATAAAGTATCAAGGAGGTGTGTGATATTGCATGATCAAGTTTAAATTTAGCGATCATTTAGAGTTCAAATACCATAGGTTTTGTAAAATTCAACTTAAAGCATAATTTTTAAATCTCAAAAATACGTTAAAAATTACCTGAGAAAATCAAAGTCAATGGTCGAGTGTTCTGCTTGAATAAGACTCCAACATGTCCATAAAAAGTGAGAAGCAAGTGCAAATTTGTTGACTTGCTTGTAAAGAGTCTCGACTTCATCCTCTGTTACGTCAGGTGTACTATTAAATTCCTTTAAATAAACTCTCAGCCATTCAAGTTGAAATTCTTTCGATGGATATTTTGTATAGTCGATAATATTGTCTGAACCGATACCTGGAAATTCGGCGAAATGATTACCAATGTCAAACGCTTGATGATTAGGCTCAGCATACTCGTAATCAATGAAAGTCACTTTATTCGACTCCTCCGTATAAATAACATTTCCGGGCAGCAAATCATTGTGGCAGAATAGAACGGGAGAGTTCGTTTTCTCGAGTGCACTATATAATTCATTAAATTCATCTCGTAACCGAGCAACTGATGGAAACGCTGTTTTGACCCTGAAACATGTGTTAATAAAATATACAAATTACTTTTACGATTCATACATACACACACAGATGTGCTGTATCTGTCATGTCCAATTATTTATACCTTTCATCTTTCGTCTGATCAGTGAACTTGTCTGGAATAAGATCGAGGAATTTGAGTGTCTTTGTCTTAAGCATTGGTTCCATTGACTGTGACGAAGACAACGGGAGTTTATGCATATTAGCCATATGAGTTGCGACTAGTTTCCATATCTTTGGTTCATAGATGCTTTGAGAATTCGGTGTAACGCCTGGAACATATTCATAGCATAAACCGTTTTTAAAGGTTGCATATAATTGTGGTGCTAGCTTGTGACCATGCAATAGCTTAATATTTCTTTTCTCAGCATTACGATCGATAAGCAAATCCGTTTTATTTCCATAAATTCTTACTAGGATCACGTCATTAAAATCACTCTCTGGGTCGCTATAAAAGCATCCGACTAGCTTATTTGTAATACCATCGGTGAATAGCTAATTTAGTTCCGCAATAGTTTAAAATAAGTAGTGGTGAAACACATGAAAAGTAATAAAAAGAGTAAATTGGATATAAGTAGATAAGTAAGGAATTAAATTAAGCAATGAACAAAGAAAGCGGAGCTTATGACATTGTATTAAATTAAAAATAATTGATTAATAAACATAAAGAGGGATTTATTATCTCGTCAAGTAAAGTTCGTCTTATCATGCTCTCATAAGAACATAAATCTACGATCTACGTCAATCAAAATTAATAATTGTTCCTATCTATTTTCCCACACATCTCGTCCGTCCGATGATTCACTTACTTTAAACTTAATATCGGATATTTTCCAATTTGATCGAATGACCTGTAATATTTTTATGATTCCTTTTTCATAATTAAGCTCGTCAACATTTATGTCAAGTTCTTCCATTGAGTAACAACACTTAAAACTTTAGTTCCACTATTCTCTCTGATTCCACCTTTCACAGATTACTGAATAGAATTAAAACTTTACGGACTCTTTTTATAAACAACAAAAAAATACATGAATAAAAATTGAACATGCGCGTGTCCACAAAAAATTGGAAGTCAAGTCAAACTGTCAAAACATGACTTTCCACTGCTTTTATTCCAGTTGATATACAGAAATCTGGAAGGTTGATGGAAAAAGAGCTCGTTTAATTCACAAAAAATTTTGGATGGAATTTTTTTTCTTCTTTGTTTGAGCTGTGACAAAATTCTAGTCTTCTACCCTTAAAAGTGAACGTAACAAGTGATATGATTTTCAAAGTATTAAAGTTTCAAAAATGACTGGAATTATAACGATTTATTGGAATTCAAAATAGATTTTAACTAGAAACTGGAAAATTTAACTGGAAATGATTGGAAAATTTCCAATATCTGGAAGTTTGAAAACTTATTTAACGGATTTTCTAGAATTTTTGCGACAAACTAGACTAAAAATCTAAGCATGACTGACAAAAGACACAAAAATGTCGATTCCGTTTTTCTCTTATTGCTCCCTTACTCAAATTTTTCACTGCTGATTTTGAGAAGAGAGAATTGCATGATACGATTAGTAGAGCTGTGCTTTATGCTGTATGTTTTTGCTTTGATTGTGATTTAATTCTTATACACATGGAGCATGGCCTCAAATAATTAACAAGTTTTTGATCAATTATATCACTTTAAAAATCAATTACTTTATTTAAAAATAACAACATTAATCCCTTTCTCAATATACTACAAAGAGAGTAAGAGAGAAAGAGTAAAAATGAGAATTGCTTAAAAGAACTAAGTTTTGTGCTCTTCTGCCAAACTTTTTCTGATTCTCTTTAGAAATTCAGTCATCATGTCTTGATTAAGTTCCTTGTGCTGTCTTAATGCATGATCTCTATATGTTGATTTGCGAGTAAATGTCGATGAACATAATTCACATTTAAATGTCAACTTCTCCTTAAAATGGACCTTCTTTAAATGATAATTTAGCTGAGTTTCAAGTCTAAAACTTCGTTGGCAATATTGGCAGGGAAATTCAAGTATTTTATGTGCACTTTGATGATCCATTAGCTTCTTATTTTCATGGAACATTTTTCCACATTCATCGCATTTAAATTTAGGATCTCCGTGATAAATGAAGTGGCGTTTAAGTGTCTCGAGTGACTTGTATAATGTTCCACAAATTTCACATGGAATTGACGGTACAATGTCTGAATGTGCTGCCTTCTTATGATACTCAAGATGCGTTTTTCCACTAAATCCTTTATTGCATTCATCACATTTAAATTTCTTCTGACCCATATGTATGACTGTATAGTGCCGTTGATATACAGATTTCTGTTTGAACGTTTTTCCACAAAAGCATGTGATATTTACATTACTGAACAGGTGCTTTACATCTCGATGTGTCTTCAGGCTTCCTTTGGAATAAAATACAGCATCACAGAATTCGCAGCTGTACTGCATTCTTAGCTCTTTTGTTAAATGAACATTCATGTGACATCTCATTTCGTTTAAAGTAGCTACTCTGTGAGGACACAGATCACATGCTATTCTTCTCATCGTTGATTTTTGATGTTTTCTTCTAATATGAACGTTAAGCCGTGAATTTGATAAAAATGCCAAGCCACAAGTTGGGCAAATTGAGTTCTTTTCAAGAAGATTTTTAGGCTTGTGAATGTTTGTAATATGCAGGTAGATATCATACTTTTTATATGCTGAGTAGTCACACATATCGCAATGATAATTCTTGGTTCTTAAATGGATTCTCTTGACATGTTCCTTCACTTTTCTAGCCTCTGTAAAGTATTTCGAACAAACTGGACAATAATGATCCTTTTCAGACGGTGTATCCTTCCTTTTTCGTTTTCTTTTACTGGATGTCCTTAATTTGGTTGTAATACTTTGCGACACTTTCTTAATTCGTTTAACATGTTCATTAATTACAGTTATTGGTTCTATTGGATAATTTGGCTGTTCCTCGTCTCTCTCTACTTCCTGTTTAATTCCTTTTGTTGAAATGAAATCGACATTAAACTCTTCTGGATCTTCTGTCGGTTCCGATTTTATTAGTGGATTTTGAAGGAATTTTTGATGTGTTTTAATTATTTTAAGCTTAAAATCCACAAAGTCAGTGAGTTTATCATGACATGCAACACAGATGACATTCGTTGGAACTGTTTGATCATTCAGAAACTAGAAAAACAAAAATGTAAACAAAAGTTACAACAAAAATTTTAAATCTCTTACTTCTCTATAATCTCCAACGATATCCTTAATATGCTCTACATCCTCGTCTGTTAGTTTAATTGATGAATTGTCACAGTAACAGCATAAACAATTTTTAGCTGTCATTTTAAATGATGAAGATTTGTAAATTTACAAATCTCAAACAATCATTGAAGTAGTTTATAAGGTAAGAACTCAATTCGGGACATATTCACACCGGACTACAGAATAAGCTTAGCTTTGATCAAGAAAAGATTGAAACTTACGATTCGGTGTGAATAAAATCAGTAATGTTTACAAATTCTGTCATTAATCGCCAGTCAGTCATTAAGTTTCGTCAACAGTCAGTAATTTCGCCGCATTTAAGACAACAAATAATGGATAATTTGATAATTCCACCGAATCCAAACTGGTTTTCCCAGTCAATTTGCTATTGCACACCAGATAATGGCTTCATATATGGAGCAACATCAAAGATAGCGTATATACCACCGAAAAATGAGCAGGAAGAGGCTCAAATGAAAATTTTGGATTTGAAGAAGAAGTAGGTGTCATATTTTCTAATTATATCTACAGACTTATCACATTATTTCTTATAAACAGACTCAACTGCTTCGCATTATGTCCAAATTACAATGAAACGAGACGTTTAGCACTGATTAATGGAGATTATCAAGTTTTGGTTTACAACTTCCAGACTGAAGAAATTATTAAAGGACATAAAGGACATTGTGATGAATTGAACAAGCAATATCAGTTTTCAGCAATAACATTCACATCCAGTAATATTGTCTTATCGTCCCTCAATTCTGATGTCATCAAGTTTTGTCTTCTTACCAATACTTTCAAGTCATATCCGGATTTTTCAAATCGCAATCCAATAACAATTTTAAAGAAATCTCCAAAAGATTGTGAATTAGTTGCAGCTGGAACTAAGAATGGCTTAATACTACTTATCGACAGCGAAAAGATGGAAATTAAGGCAAGACTTCGTGGTCAAGACACTGAAATCACGTCACTTGACTTTATGGTGTTTCCTGTAATCTCAAAAGAGATCCCAAAAATTAATAATGTTAAAAAGGCTGTCAAACAGTCGGTTCCAACTGATGATTCTGATATTTTTGATATCTATAAAACTGATAAGATTGAGGATGAATTTGGAGCTTTTCAAGAGAATTACGAGGACAGAAGTGACGACGAGGAAACAAATGATGCATCAATGAAGGAAAAAGTCCACAATACATCAGATTTTAACTTCTTGGAAGCATGTAGTGATTTAAAGCATCAAATATTGAACCGAGATGAAGAAAGTTCAGCAACAGGAAATCGAAATTCTGGGACTTTTGATGATAATAAGGAACAGTATGGCATGAAGAATGAAGAAACTCCGTCTGTAGATGTATCAATAGCATCAAATCGTTCATCTCACACGCCAGTCTTTACAGAAGAATCTCTTAATTATATCGATGAATGCCAACGATTAAAGGAATTTGATGAAAAATCTACTAATGATCTAGATATTGTTGTTCTGGCTTCTGGAGCACGTGAATGTGTCGTTTGGCTTTGGGATATTATTGAGCATACAGCATTACATAAAATTCGTTGGCATCCAAAAGCAAAAAATCTACTTCCAGCTATTTTTACAAATGTTTTATGGCTGGATAAGGAAACATTGCTGTTTACGGATAATAATGGGGAAGTAACAGAACACAAGATCAGATTTGATGAAAAAAATAAGAAGATTACAGATCAAAGACAGAAGAGAACTTATGAAGTAAAAGGTGTTCTTAACATCTGCAAAACTAATGACTGTTCACTGCTCTGGATGTCATCAATTCATCGTCATATTTGTTGTTTAGAGACAAAGAATCTGGCAAAAATTATCAGCCTCGATACATTGCAGATCAGAATTCATTATATTATTGAGAATCCAATTGAATCGAACGTAATCGCAATTGGTGGAAATGACAAGAGATTATGTTTATGGAATACATCAGACGCAAGTCGTCACATGATCACTTTAAAGCCATTCATGAATAAAATACAATCGAGTATTTTGTGCATTGCATGGCATCCTGAAAAGGATAATATTTTAGCATTTAGTACACGGGAAGGTCGTGTTGGAATTTTGGATACGAACAAATTTACAAATGTGCCAGTTATTTTGGAATCTTTTACAAGCCATGAGATTTATTCAATGACTTGGGCCAAATTTATAGATTCTAGTAGATCAGAAACGACAGTATTAATAGTCTGCAGTAATGGAAAGTGCGTCTACTATAACTACAAAGATTTTAAGATGAATCTCTTGCCACAATTTAAGAATATTTGCTCATTGGCATCAAACATGAATTTATTAGCATTAGGAAACAACAATGGAAGTGTTTTCATTTGTGACATGTCTAAAGACTTTAAAGTTATAGCGCACACAAAGATTTGTCAGAAATATATTGGAATGATGACTTGGTTTAATGATAAATTGGCAATTGCTTCTGAAAAAGGCATAACAATTATTAAAGACTTGAATGCAGGAATGAACGAGGAAATTGTCGAGGATAATAAAATTAAATTACAGCAACAGAAGCGAGTTTATAGTGTCAGATTTGATAAGAGTGGCAATCATTTAGTCACATCGAATATCACGGGAACAGTTAATGTATGGAACTTGGAAACATCAAGCATAATTTCAGCTATGAACATCGATACTCCAGTTTACTGTGCGATTTTCATGCCAAATAATGAAGAAGTACTTATTTGTGGTGGACAAGACTCAACAATTCATGCATTTGAATGGAAAAAGCATCCACAAAGTCAAGAAGTTCCTGAAAAGGTTTCAAAAAATGATGATAAAATGAAGCATGTCGAATGGGGAATATTGTCGGAAATGACTACAATCTCAAAATACAATAAGAAGCGTCGCATCAAGAAGAAAGTATCTCCAAACAATAAAATTACTGAAATTACTAACGGAATTAAGCACATGAAAGTTGGATCCAAGAAAATCACGACTATTTTTACAGCTGCAAATCGTGAAATCTCTGTTAATCCACTAAATTTCATACAAATGCTTTTAAGTGGAAATGATGGACGTGAACTGAGCATGAATGAAGTCATGTTTGGAAATCGAGGGGATATTAAGAAGATGATTGATCGAGAACGTAAGTTGACAGGCATTTGTAACGGTTATTTTTTTTAAATTATGTTTTTATTATTTATGTTCTAATTATGCTTAATTACAGTGGAAAATGATCAGAAATCATTCGGAACTATTATTCTACCTCAATTGACTGATGATCTCAAGGATGACATTTTGGAACGTATAGAAAACAAGACATTGGCAGAAGTTCACGTTTCAATTTCTCCATCTATTTCTTACGAGTAAGTTTAGCGGGCATATCCTTTATATCTCCGCTTTATTAATCCAAAAATGAATCATTACAGTTTGTGGAAGAAATCATGCTTAGCTTTTGGAAAGCAATGCATCGAAAGTGACGAATTTATACGTGCGGTTCCTTTCTTGCTCGCTGTAAATGACGTCGATAACTGTGTTGACATGCTGTGCGAGGCTAAATACTTCAGAGAAGCTTGGGTGATTGCTAAAATGAGAAAGGATGAAAAGGATCCAATTTATGATAAAATCATGCAAAAATGGATCTCTTATTTGGATTACAGCGGTAATTATGAGACATCTGCTGCTTTGTTATGCTGTACGAAGGATTATAAGCGAGCTTATGAAGCATTGGATAAAAGACAGAATAAGGATGAAAAGTTCATTGAAATTTTTAACATTTTATCTTCTAAAGTTTAAAAGATTTAAAGACTTTACCTTTTTACAATTATAAATTGTCCTTTTCAATATTAGCTTTGTTAAGAATTACTTAATATTTTTAACATTTTACGCACTAAAGTTTAAAACTTTGAATAAAAAAATTGGTCAATAAAAACCGTTGCATTGAAATTCAAATTTTCCCGCATTTTTCAAAGTCAAAATAAATCAACATCAAAGTCTGTGATCAAACAAATAAATTAATTATGGAGGAATTAGACGATTCTATGAATGATGTTCTAGCTAATATGGACATTCCTGATGATATTCAGCCTACGACATCAAAAACCAGCGTAAATTCCAAAGAAACAAGTCAAAATAAGGCACAAAACGAAGTAAAATTAATAACATCCGCTAAAATTCAAGTTCATTCTAATCAGAAAGGAAATCCATTACTAAAGTCTATAACCAACGTTCCTTGGGAATATAATGACAAAATTGTTCCTGATTATGTCGTTGGGAAGCACGGTAAGCTTGATTAATATTTTTCATAAAAGTTGGTAACTGGATGTTAACTTCCTATGTAGCTTGCATTCTGTTCCTATCAATCAAGTATCACAACTTGAAGCCAGACTATATACATGAAAGATTGAAGCAATTAGGCAAAAATTACGAATTAAGGATCTTACTGGTTCATATTGATGTTAAAGAATGTCATAATCCTTTAAAACATTTGACTAGAATATGTCTTCTTACTGACATGACATTGATGCTTGCCTGGTCGTATGATGAAGCTGGTAAAATAGTTGAGAATTACAAGTTATACGAGAATGTATCAGCCGAGAAATTAATGGAAAGGCAGGATGATATTGATGATCACCAAAAAGTTATAAATGCACTTACAGCAATCAAATCAGTAAATAAGACAGATGCAGCAACAATTTTAACGAATTTCGGTACTTTAGAGAATCTAGTGAAAGCATCAGAAAGTCAATTGGCCTCGTGTATTGGGTTGGGTCCTAAAAAGGCACAGCAGTTAATTAAATTATTTAATGAACCATTTTTGAAATAAAAATTCCATTTAACGGTTTTTTAAAATTTGAATTTTTCATTTCAAACAAGAAGCATTAATATATTGAAAGTTTATGAATTAAATTAAATTATAGCTCTTAAACAGCTCAAAACCACATCTAATTAATCAAAATGGGTTCAAATAAGAAGCATAAAAAACATAAATCTGAAAGAAAGTCAAAATATGACGGTAAGTTGCTAGAAAAACGAGAAAAACTTTTGCAGCATAATTGTTGTGGGTTGTTTATATTAAAAATAATTAATTATACATTAAATCCTTAATTTTAGAGCGTCCACCAAGTTTAAAGCTTATATTGAAGGTTAGCGGCACACCAGAATATGGATCCAGCAATTCTCCGTATCAGATTAACATGCCAGACAAGAGTTATGAACATTCTCAGGATCATTCAGAAAAGCATAAAAAATCCAAGAAAAAGAAGAAGAAGAAGGACCGTGAAAAGAGACATAAGCATCATAAGAAAGAAAGGCATAATAGAAGATCCAGTGTTGAAGAAAGTACAATAATGGATGATGAAGAAAATGCTCAAAGTGTCTCTGAGAATATGAATCTTTATTATGCTTCTATGTTTCCATCGTCTGCTATTTCAGCAAGTCCAGCAACAAAGCCAATGATTCCGATGGTACAAGAAGAAAAATCGTCATTCCACACATTACAGAATGTTCCGTTGCCAGAGATTAAACCTGAAACTCCAAGTCAACAATTATCTCCAATGACACCACAATCTGTCGATTCAGCAACAAGAGAACCACGTACATGTGTATTAAAATTAAAACAGCAAAGAAATCCATTAGCAAAGTTACTGGATCATTTATTGAAAGCTTTAGAGAAAAGAGATCCACATCAGTTTTTTGCTTGGCCAGTTACGGACGATATTGCGCCTGGATATTCATCAATTATCTCAAATCCAATGGATTTCAGTTCAATAAGACAGAAGAATGAGGAAAGCAAGTATCAATTTTTGCAGGAATTTTCAGATGACTTTCAATTGATGTGTGAAAATGCTATAAAATACAATCATCATGAAACTGTCTATAATAAAGCAGCACGTCGATTGCTTCAAGCAGGAATGCGTCTATTACAACCAGAAAATCTTGTTCGTGGCCCTTATACGCAGTTTATTAAAGATCTAACAGTAAAGGAATTAGGTTTTGATCCAACATTAAAAATGGAGCATCATGATGAAGCTTACAGTATCGATTCTGTGGAATGTGATGATACTGGATTAATGTCTGAACAGCCAGATCCACTTCAAGAGGAACGTGAAAAACGAGAAAGAATAAAAGCTGAAATGGATCCAAAAACACAATTTGAGCCTTTTGTAGATCCAATGACTGCAGATGAAATCCTCGAGCAAGTTCAAAAAGCAGCAAGAGATGCCAGAACAAAGCTTAATAAGCGTAAGGCTCATAGTATGGGATTTTTAAGAGCTAATTCTGATGGAACATCCTCAATGAAAATAATTATACCGTCTGAAAATGGAATTCCTGAAAAGACACGAAAACTTGGTGAATTAACTGGAAAATTAGAAAAAGGAACTGGACTTTTACAAAGTTTCCGTGAAGATCGACGAAATGCTGTAAAAATGCCTAAGCCATTAAATTATGGATCATTTAGTTCCTTTGCACCCACATTTGACACACGATTTTCAAATTTAACAGTCGATGAAACAGAACTGATATTAAATACGTATGGAAATGATGACAGTGCTAGTTATGCTACATCTATATCAAGATTTACTCAAGATTCAGTGTATGGAAGTACACTAGCTAATAAGTTGCTTGACTTACTGACTAATGGTGATCATAGCAAAACAATGGAAGTTTTAATGGAAGCAGAACATGTTAAACAGACACAAAAGGAGGTTGATAAGATGTTGCCAGATTACCAGAAAGAAGCAAAGCAGCTTGAAAATGTTGCTGTTAATTTTGATGAATTACGGACACTTAAGGACATTGGAGTGGATATAAGCTTCTTAAAAACTTTCGAAAAGGCAATTAATGGAAATGAACAAACTGAGAATAATCTACAGACAAAACTCGATACTACATCGACACTCATTGAGCAGCTTCATCAAGTTCAAAGTGATCGTTTATCAGCACCTCTTCCTCAGCATTTAAGCCTTGTAGCTCATCCAAATAAGCAAGAAATGGAACTTGCTGATCAAATTACATCCAATATTACAACAATGGCAAAGAAATTGCCACCATTCGCAATATCCTCAGTTGGTGGAGTAAGAAAAGCTATGGGAATGTCCAATATTCCACTTGAAAATGAGCTCAAAAGAATGACAAAGTTTAATAAACCAATTGATGTGAATGCTGGTGAAACGGATATGGAAATAGAGCCAGTAGCTAGTGGAACAGCTGAATTTGACAATGAAATAAGGCAATTACTTGGAACAGATTGAAGATTTTTAAACATAAACTTGACTTGACTTTAATTTCTGTATTGTAATAATTTTAATTTAAAAAGCTTTTAAAGAGAATAAAAACGACAAATTTTATTTTAAATTCTATGCTTTTTATTGGTTTCGAAAATTCAAATTCCTAAAATACGTTAAGATTTCAAATAAAAAAAAAATAACGGCTGAAAATGAAATCCTGAAATCGAATATATTTCACACACGAGGTAATTGAAAGACTGTCGTGTACCTTTTGATAAATCCTTCTTTATTTTTTATTATTCGTCTTGTGTCTTATTTTTTCTTAAAAACATTATAAATCGTATCAATAAAATCTGTAAAAAGAGAAAAGTATTAAAATAATAATAAAAATAAGAGATAAATCTTATGGAATGTATGTAAAAATTATCAATGCATTGCTGCCCTTAACGTCTAAAGTAAATGAAATGATATAAAACGAATTTGTCGATCTCAAGGAGACTGAGCATTAAATATTTACTATATATTTGCATTAATAATAATAATAAGTCATTTTCAATGTGAATATCACAAGAAATCTTAAAAATTACATCTTACGTCTCAGAAAAAGAAGAGGGGGTCGATGGAAGTATCAAACTTACCTTCGATGTATATTATTTTCATAAAAATTATTATAATTAAATAAATCTTTTTTTCAAATGCTATAAATTAAAGTAAATCGAATGAAGCTCTACAATATGCAGAACTAATTGCTTAAAATGTTATGCCTTAATTCTATTAAATTTGCACTTTTCAATTGAAAATATATTTCTTCCTTAAAATTAATGAAATTATATCTTTAACGTCTCACATTAAACCTGGACAAGTAATTGTCGCAGTTTGTGCAATATAGGGATGTTCCTATTGTGTGCTGCTTACGACACAAATTACACACTGTTGATTTCGCTGACGATTTTACGATTGCATTATTATTAAATGCTATTTTCGTTGGAACCACTTGAGTTGGTGCTGTTGACGGCTGTGCTTGACCAACCGTTGAATTATTATTGCCATCTGTTGAGTTTGGTGCTGGCGAGTTACTTCCATCATTACCTTTGGTGTCGGGTCCAAAACTTACCTTTTTTGGAATGACTTTCTGCATCTGTGATGAGCTCAAGTAAAGACTATTCATTGGATTCTGATGGAGCTGACTAAGTGGATTCATTGGATTTAATGGCAATTGTTGTGACTGTTGAGGACTTCCTTCAAAATGCATATCTTGTGATGGCATATAAGTCACACGTTGGTAAGGAGATTGCTGGAATGTATAGCCATTCTGCATATCCATTGGAATTGTCTGTGGCTGCATCATTTGTGGTGGTTTTTGGTACACATTCTGATGATTTATTGGTTGTGCTTGATACATTCCCATTCTATTTTGATTCATCATGTAATTCATTTGTTGTTGTGGACTGACCATTTGATTTGGTGACATCATAGTCGGTGGTGTTTGTTGAGCAAGAGGATTTTGTGGATAATTTTGTTGTGTTTGTCTTTGGAGATTGTATGGATGCATTGGATATGCCGTAGGATTTTCACGAAGAATTGTACTATTTTGTGGTATCTGCATGTATGGCGATGCAGTATTGTTCGATGTAGATTGCAATGGAATGCCTAAATTTGTTAATCCTGATCCCTGATTAGCAATATAGTCAAACGATTGCTGCTGCTGCTGCATACTATTACTGTTATTTGCATTATTGCCAGGATATTGTCCAATATTCTGCATCTGTTGGACATTTGATCCAACAGATGTGATATCTGGCTTCTTTTGCATCATATTCATCATACTTGCTTGATATTGCTGTGGAAGGGATTGTGATTGTTGTTGAGGAACTGTAGGATTTTGTTGTGATTGTGGAGGATAGATTTGATGATTTATGGATGGATTTTGGGGAGGAACTGAATGGTAAACAATTGGTTTTTGAATTTGCTCAAGTGTTTGATAACCAAAACCGTCATCTTTGGGTGATTGACTGTATTGTGGTAATCCATTCAATTGATAATTTTGAATGGGTGTTGGTGACATGTATTGGGATGTAGGAATTTGTGGCGATGACTCGTGAGGCGCTTGAAGTGGAATTTGTTTTGTAGCCAAGATATTTGGCTTGGCAGGTGTGTCAACTTGATCTTTTGACTCTTCTTCACTTCCATTACTGCCATTTATGCTCTTGAGCACGCGCTCTAAAATTGGATTTGGTACAAAAGTCTCGTCTTCCTCATCATTTGCTGTTGCTACCAAAATTACTTGATCACAGAATGATACGCTCTTCTTCTTCGTCCTCTTTGGTGGATTGGAATTATTTAATGTATTTTGCACAACCTGATTTAACATCTCTACTTCCCGTAACTCTTCTTGCACTTGACTCGCTGGTACTTCAAATTTAATTTGATTCTTCTTCTTATCGACAATCGCATACTCAACTTCCTCGCCATTGTCCATTCGTTTAATGGTATGAGGCGTTGTTGAAATTGTTGCTGGTGTCAACAGTCCATTCATGCCTGTTCGAACATTTAAACGCTTTGGTTCAGATAATGGTGACATTTTAGCCTGCTCGAAACGTGACGCAAGGTCTTTTACATTATTGTCAGGTACTTTGGAGTCTATTTGCATCTTCTTTGCCAATTGCTTCATCTGTAATTCCTTGAGCCAAATCTCAGATGTATATGATGACTCAGGCCTCTTGTCAATAAAATCTTTAACTTTTAATGCCTCTTGTCGTTGCTGCAAATGTGCAAGTATACTTGTACATCCCTGAATTGTATCCAATGAATCTGTTCGTTTAATTTGCAGACTCTTTTGAATTTCATTAAGCTGCTCATTTAAGGGCTCGAGATCAATTGATGGTGGAGGTGGGGGAAAATCTTCAGATGCTTGACGCGAATGGCAAGTTGTTGACGGTGGACTTGGGTATGGTGGCAATTCTAGTTGTGAATTAAATCGTGCATGATGTGGAATTATAGCACAATCGACTTCATCAACATCAGTCTTTTGTTGCATGAACTTTTGTTGATAATTTGTAGGAGGTGGCATGATATCACTTGGCTTTAATGGACTCTGTTCTTGATGAACTTGAGCACATGTGATTATTGTTTGGCAGGAATCTTCACTCATTGATGTGTTGGAACTTACATTCGAAATTATTGACATGTTTGCTTTATGGAATGGCTCTATTGGTTGATCAATAGGTGTAGCATAGAAGTTCTGACCAGTTTTTTGCTGTAAGTGATGCTCTTCAACAAGCTCACGTGTTAGTGCTGAAGTTTTTCTTAATGGTGGTGGAGGTGGTACTTTTGCAACGACTAATTGTCTTCCACTTCCATGGAAACTCTTTCTCATTAATTTACTTCTTTCTAATGTTGGATTTCCAGTCACATGATACTCAAGATGTCCTTCTGACAAATATCCACTATTTGTTGTTGTATCTAGACTTTTCGGACTTACACCGACTGAGCTGTCGTCAAGTGATTTCTGTGGAGTCGATGCAACTTCCTTATTTTGAGTCTCAACAGCACCCTCTGTGAGATCAGGCATTGAACGATTCTTTCTTCGAATGAGACCGCCCATAAGTAACTTTCGTCGAATTTTGTGCTGTTTCTTGTTGGTCTTATCCTTATCTTTCTTCTCATCTTTCTCTTCTTTATGCTTCTTTAATGTATCTTTTGCATTTGTAAGACTTGCTGCTGCCTCAAAATCTTTACTTGCTTTATTGCGATCTTCACTTCTTGAACGCTTTTCTTTTGATTCTTTTGATCGTCCAAAAAGACTACGACTTTCACGCTCAGCTTTTTTCGGTGGGTCAGCCACAGTTATAGGCTCAATTGGAACAATCTGATCTTCCTGGTCCATAAGTTTCAATGAAACCTTCTTTTTCGGAAGTGTTGCATAAATTTCGATACTTTTCGTTGGCTTATTATCTTCTTGACCCAACATTTCTTTGCTGTTTTGTCTCTGCATTGTCTTGTCTTTACTGTTTTGTCGTCCATGTCGAGGACCGTTTAATGAGTTTGTATTCGATTGATCTTTAACAAGCGAAAAGGGCTCCTTTTCCATAAATATTCTCCGATGAAGGCTTCTCGCTCGCATTACACATGTATTATGCTTCATACGTGCAAATGTCATTGTATGTGGATTACTGTATGGTGCATTCATTGCTGCACGAGCTTTGCCAGCTGCTGCATTACACAATACTAATGCTGTCTCAAAATCGTGAGCATCTTCAACTAATTTTGATTTCTCAAGCAATTGATCAGCTTCGAGACAAAGCTTCTCACAATCGCCTGACATTGTCATTGATTCGGGGATTTTTGCCAAATGCATAATTGGATGTTTTGGAGGATATGAGTCAGTCGATGATAATGAATATGAATCATATCCACCATCATAAAATGGCCCATTTCGTGTTGGACTTGGCGGCATTGAGTTGTTATTATTATTATTAGTAGTTGTAGGATTATTATTTCTTTTGTTCATCAAATATAGATATGGATTATCGAGTGTTGTTGATGATGATGAACTGGCACTATTTCTATCGCCACTCCAATTGCCCGAATCCCTTCTTCTTGGTTGATTTAAATGATCTGGAATTGATAGACCATCGGAATGTGATGGAGATGATGAGATTGATGCAGATTCAGCACTAAGACTTCTTGCTAGCTGCTGTTTCTTTGCCATTTGAGCTTCAAGCTGACTACGGCTGATATATTCTTTCTCCTCACTACTGCTACTGCTGTTTCCAGAACTTGTTAGATTATTTGAATTATTGTAAAAGATTTTCTCTTGAATGACATTTAAATTCTGGTACTGAGCATTAATCACATTCTCGACAGTCCTCCGACTTATATAGACGTCTGTTTCTTCAGATCCATTTGTATTAAATATTTTATTTTGTATGACACTAAGATTTTGATATTCGCATACAGCTCGATTTGGTGTTGGCGTTATGGCACGTCTCGTGAGACCAATTTGTGTCTTTTCTGGACTTGGGGTGATTGCACGACGATTTGAACCTGCCAATGTCGTACTCGTCACTGAGGCATCTGATTGATAACCATTTAATGTTTGTGCTGGTGGCTGTGGCAGGGCATAAAGTAAAAGTAATGGCTGATATCGGCCTCGACTGCATTTATCGACAACTGCTTCGAAATTTGGGCCAACCTGTTATTAAGAAAAAAATTAAAATTGGAACAGAAATTAGTAAAGTAATTAACAAAAACCTGTAAATTAAGCAATCTTACCTCTTGTACATTGGCATCATCAAAATAAACCCAAACTTTGAGTTTAGTGTGGAAGAAGAATGTCGTATAATGCTTTCCATAATATGACACGACACCAACAAGTTCATGAGAATTTGTATGTGCCCATCGTGAGTCAGAAACTTGATGGAAGACATCACCAAGCCGAAGAGATGTTCCAACTGCTTTAAGAACTGAATGTACCTGATCAGCAGCTGGCCTCTCTGAGTCCCACACCACACCAATCGATACAACATCGGGCTTGTTCAGTAGTGATCGACATATGCCAATTTTTGCTCCGCACGAATTCTGTAGGAAGTGACGAGATTAGTTTTTATTATTTTCTGATCAGCATGGATGTAATTAAATTTTTTTTCGGTTCTATTCATAAGTAGTGAGTTCCCACTTTACACATATGGACTTATAATGTATATTCCTTCATTGTGATTTAAGTATCATTTAAGAAAATATATAATAGTCAATGTGTACACATAAAAATGGATCAAACGACTCTAAGTCTTTAAAAGTTTGTATTTATATTCATTTCAAGGCTATCAACAATTACAATTATTTCAACATGTTAAGAGCTTCATAGAAATGTGCGCGATGCATGAAAGATCTAATAAATTTATGTATTAAATTCATTTTCAATTATGTTACCATGTTAGCTATGCTTTAAGCATATATAAATATACACAACAAGTATACACTTTTGAGACTTAATAGTAATCTGTTGTAATAAATCTCGTACGGCAGTTAAAGCTTTGAACGAAAATAAGACTTGAAGGTTTCATAAATCAGGAAAGGCATGAAGTGTGCATGTAAGTAAATTAAACATCGTCGCTTATTATATTTTAGTGCATTTTCTGCGAGATGAATGTGATAGCTCGATCGCTTTGTCTTTTAATGACGCTGGATCTTTAAATTATTACAAAAGTGAAGATTCAGAAGCGAAAACTTTATTTAAATGAATATAAAGCATTGATTGACAAAAGGAAGCAGCTGAAATTGTATTCGCTCATTTATAATAATTTGCTCTTTGTAGCTGCAATTTTCTTCTTACTTTTGCATCTCAAAGCTTAATGATGAGCATTTAAACATGAATTTTTTATTATTATTAGATTTTTTTTCTGCAAAATGTCAAATGAAGATTCACACACTATGGCACAATGAGAAGGAAAATGTCATGCGGTAGTGTGTTGATTCGATAACTATTGTTCCATAATACAAATGAAGCTTAAAGTAAGAAGAAGAAGCAAAACAGATGAATACGAATTGATCATTTACTTTCACTTTTTGTATTCATCTTAATAATTTTTTGATTGGAAGCCCTACTTGCATTTATCATAATCTTAATCCTCTAATAAATTGCAGCATAATTGCTTACAAGCCTCGCCCCATGTACGCGGCGTTAAGACATTTTCACCTTAATAATTCAAAACATTTATGCTTCATGTAAAAGTGTGTTAATTTGACAAGTGGCACTGTTAAAGCCACACACACACTCTGTGTACATGCCTTGCAATCCATTCCACAAAGTACATTTGCACCAAGTGCACTGAATGAGACCGAATTAAAATAAATTGCATGTGCTGAAAGAGACAAATTAACTTACCGGACAATCTCGAATATCGCCCATATTTGCTGCATTCCTCAATAACTGTCCAAATGATTGCTGTGTTGCAATCATATTCTGTGATGTCAATGCTGATGCCGAAACGTAGTGCACCATCTGTGAATGAAGGAAATAGAAAATAAAAATCAATTAAAATAAATGGCTTAAATAAAATAGAGATAAGTTAATTAGTCGTGGGACGTTGCAAAAAAAAATTTAAGCAGCAACAAATTCATTTGTTTTCCCTAATCATCATGTCACGTCTATTTTCTTCTTCATCATCTGTTTTTTATGCCAATTGGGCTTAAAACTAATGTTGGCGTATTTTGGAAAGACAGTTAAGAGCATTTGTAGCTTATTAGCACCATTAAGTAGATTAAGTGACAAGAGATAACTGGCTCATATGTTTAGCACATAGCGGAACTTTTTTTTCTGCTGAAAATTTTATTTTTTTGAATGTTTTGTCGTGCTGTACATCACAAAATTTATGTTCAGCAAAATTCAAAGAAGTTGACATATAATTCACATGAAATGGCTGCAAATTGTAAATCACATGACATTGCAAGACTCATTCTATCATGAGGTAAGGTATGTAACTGTTTAGAATGAGTCGTTGGTTCTGGATTATTCTTGTGAAATGAATCATTATTTAATGAAATTAGTTTTGGATTCTTGTTCTGCTTACTGGATCGTTTACATTATGACAAGGCAACTTTTTTGGTTACTGAAAAATGCTTTGATACATTCCCTATCAGATCATGTTATCTACTGATTATAGGAAGCGATTCAAAGCTTAGATTTATTGCCCATAAAATTGTATCTTAAAAACAAAACTACCTGAAATTTAAAGCCCGAAGAAATTTCAATTTATCAAAATATTCCCAGCTATGGATAGACAATGGGTAAAAATAAGAAAATTTAAGACATAATTTATGGCAATATCGAATTAAAAGAAAGGTAAAATCGTTGAATTTATGACTTTAAACTTTTACATCTCTTTCATTTCCAGCTATCAAATCAACAGTGTGTTATCTGACAACAAACATTTCCAATTTATCACCTTACGCATGAAATTATTGTTGTTTCATCACATAAGCCATTAGAAGAATGTAAATATATCTTCAAATAATTTATTCCAAGCCTCTCAAAATGATTATTGAAATGGAATAGACAACACAACAAAAAGATTCAGGTGGCAATTAATAATTTTTTCACAAAACATTATTCTTTTTCTTACAAGCCTGTCAATCGCCAATCGTTAATAAGCAACAAGTTTTGTTTCTTCACATTAAGACTTCGCCCACATCACGAGATGTAGACAGATTTTGTGCAGTGGCAGGTTTTTTTTTCTCTGCTTCTCTCAATAATAATTTTATTATAATTTCTGTCTCTACAAGCTTCCTTGATATATAACTTTATATAAGTAGACAGATTGTTTATGAAATCTTTGAGATTATTATAAAATCTAGTGCATACAACTTGTGTGTGCATGATAGGTGTAGAGAAACTTGCAATTTAGATTTTTATCTCAGTGCCAACAAGATCATAATGCATAGGTGCGGTGAAATCATTTCATTTATCATGTAATTTTGACTCGATGCAGTCTTTCCTTTCATGTTTGACACTAATTATCTCCCCATCTATATTGTCTTGTTGGGGGGTCATAGACTAAGTGGTGTAAGGTTGACTTTAATCCAAAAATCAAACATTTTTATTCCTAGAGTTATGTGGCATATTATAGAGTAGATTTAAATTCATGAACGTCATTGGTAAACAACCAAGCAATGTGCTCGCACAAGATTTTAATTGGAAATAAGCACAAACTATTTTTTTTCAGAATTTATACTCAATGTCATATTGGAAATTAGTTAAACAAAGCAAAATTAATTCAATATTCCATGAAACTTGATTGAAAATATTCGATTTTAATGCTAAAATCAAAATTCTTATAAACGTAACCTCAAATATTAATTTTTTTAATGACAGAAACTGTCAATTGTGAAAAATCAACAATATTTTATGAATGAAGAATCATTTATTAAGCATTTCGTTAAGGTTATGGCCAATAAGACCGAAACTATTGAGCTTTAAATAGTCACAGAGGTCATGAATTTGATATATTAATTAGCTTAATGAAAATTGCACATTCCAAAAATGCTCAAGAAAAATTAATTGAATGTGACAGGTGGAAAGATTCAGAGAATGTCTTGCTTATGTAATTCAATAATATATTCCAGTCATAAGTAAATCGATTGTAAATAAGGTGGCACAACAAACCAAAACTGTCGTCAGCTTTTGAGATCAAATGGTAGATTTTCTCTTCATTAAATCATTTATGTGGAATGTTGAAACATTTTTCAAGCCTTTTGTTCATTGCAGGTATCGTCCGTGGAGACATAAGGGATTAATTTATTCGATGATGAATTAATTTTTGGAATGAATTCTTCAAAAGATGATGTAGAGAGAGACATATTATTCAAATGAAGTGGATTTTTTGAGGTTAAAAATGAACGGATCCACTTTAGACTTTAGGAAGACGGAATTTTGATGGAGATGGAAGCAATCTTTCATGTTAATTCAAATCAGTTCTAACAAATAATTACTGGACACAACAAAGCCAACAACTCATTCCAAGATGACATAAGAGCTTCCAGACTTAGATGAATTTGTATATTTTATACACATAAAACTTGAGATGGAAATTCCTTAAGGCGATTACTTAAAAATTAATTTCATTTAACAGATGATGTCGAGAGATTTGAATTTCAAATCAATATGTTGTGTGGCTTTTTAGGCCATGCCGAAAGTCAATGAAAAATCAAACATTTGTTGCTTACCTGTGTGAATGGCAATTGCTCAGAATTGGCACCGCATTTGCAGACACTCTGCTCGACTACACGCATGGCAAATTTCTGATGAGCGACACATGATGGTGTATCACATGAGTCACCATCTGTTGGCGATAAATGTGAATGAACGCGATGAAGGAGAAGTTCAAAACATTCTGCAGCATCGCCTAAGCATCCAAGTGGAAATCGTCGACTCGCAAGTGGTCCACTGGCTAATGCCCTTCTTAAAGGTTCAGGACATAATGCTGGCTCTGAACTTGTCTGTAATTGTGTGAATAAATTCTGTAAAGGGAGATGAAAAAAAAAATATTTAAAATTTGATTCAAAAAAAGTAGAAAGTTGAAGGGATGGCATAAAAATGAATTATTTCTTACAACAACAGCATTTATGCATGAACTCATTCGACTATTATCACAACTATCAATGAAATCATTATTATTGCTACGAGGTGAATCGAGGATGTCATTTGAACTATTGGCACGCTTCAATGTGGCAAATTTCTCCGATTTACTTGCACTTTTAATCGCATTAGTGTCAAGCGATTGAGGCTTTTGAGTCTGTTCTTTGCGCTTGTAACGGAACTTGATCATTGTTATATGCTTATGAATATTACTTCTCGAACTCGCACACTAATTAAAAATCTTTTTAATTTTTATTTTCCTTAATTTTTATTTTTTAAACACTTTATTTCTTTCTTGTTACACGTGATTAAATCTCGTCTATTTGCTTTCTTCTCTTCCAATTTTGCTGTGCAACGTTTCTGTGTTTCTGGATCTCTACTTTAATTTCTTTCATAATATTTCTCTTAGCTTTATACTTTTCCTATTCATCAATTTTTTTTTCTTTTTTACTTCCAATTTATTTATTTTTTTGGTTCAGTCTGAGAGTAGAAGACGAAGATGCTAATTGGTGTGAAATTCTGTGAAGCGAAAGTAGATGTCAATAACACGGCATTACATTAAAGAAGATTAATAATGCTCGTCATTATTTGATGGTCAGCAAGGTTTATTTTCTCTGATTCAATGATTTTTATGAATACTGAGAAATTGTTGGCATAATTCGATAAAATTGAGCACTTTATTTATTAAAAGAGGAAATTTCAAGCACTTCCAATTCTAGGACACAAGTATGAAAACAGACACTAATTAAAGCCAATTTATTTGCATCAGAAATTAATCATATTTTGACCATCAAATACACAACTAGTATTATATGAAACAAATGACTATTATCGCCATCATCAATACCATATTTTAGATATATTGAACTGCTTTTGCTCATCACATTGTATTGTATTTTTTGTATTATATCTCATTAACTCATCGACTTAATGAGAATCGACGTCTTCAATCTATAAAAGTAAATTGATAATTTTTTTTCTCTGTGCTTCGAGTTTCTGTGTGACTTAAGCGTCTTTTTCAATTATTGAACGATTCATTTTTTAAGAAATTTAAACGTGTTTTTGATTTTTGAATATTTTGCATCAAAAATCAGCGTGACTTTGGATTTTCCCACTTCAAGATTTAATTTGTAAAGAAAACAACCTAAATCCACAAAAAGTCAACATTTTTAAATCAATAATTGCTCTATAAAATGGCAAAGGTCTAGTCCACTAAAATAAATCACTCAAATATTAATATTAAAGCAAATATCTTTGAACAAAATGAAAAATTGTAGGTTATTAGCTTTGCAAAACTGCACCAAAATTCGCACACAAAAGAAAAAGTTTATTTTATTAGTTATTTCTCTTTTTTCTCGATACTTGAGAACGTAAAAATGAAATCTTATAATATTTCTTTTAACTCTATTACTTTTTCTTTTATAAAATGTAAAAATTTATGTGAATCATTCACAAGGCGTAAATGAGTGAGAATCAATAATAAAAAAAAAGAAAGAAAAAATGCAAAGCCAATGATCCGTACAATGTTGTTCGTGAGTTTTAACGATAGGAGAGAATAAATGTTGAGTCTCCAGCAGTAAGCAAAAGTAAGCAATTCGGCATTTAATGTTACCACAAGGAGATTATGATGGATTTATTGACTCGCTAAAAGGCGAAGAAAGAGAGCATCTATCAGATACGGCAGATTTATACGTAATAACAATATTATCATCTATAAAATTAAATAAAATACAAGTCGCGACGAGACATTGGGCACGAGTTATTGTTTTTATCGCCTTATTTGGGGATTTTATACTTTTCTTCGATTATATCCTCAACAATCATGTTGAAAAATTGCCGCAATACAAAAAAAAGCTTCTTTACGGTGGCCATCGACCGGACAATACCACATCATCGTCATCGGACATAAATTGTGCACCATTTTGTGAGAAGATTCATAAATCAAGCATCACATGCAATTTTCGAACCGCAATTTGTGTATAGAAATAAATTTGCACACAATAATACAATGAGATGATGGAAAGAATCGTGAATGTACCAAAAAAAAAAACTTGAATAATTGATGGTTTCATTGGTACATACATAAGTGTATATATCTACATTTATACGGTAGACACTGACCTGAGGTGATTCGAGCACATAAGAATGTCGTTTATTTGCTGGTGAATCACTTTATACTTCTCAGAATAACGTTCGACCGAGCATTTCATAAATTATAAATCGAACTGAGTGCTGAACATGCCCCATAAGATCAACAATACTCTTTCACCATTCCCTCATCTCCGGTTTACATATTAACTCTGTGATGTTTCGCAATTTCACATGGCACACGTCATCCGAAAGTTTATTTATATTTTATTTTTTTCCTCTTCCACACATTTATTTCCACGGATGGACAATCAAAATGCAAACATCCACAAAAAAAATGAACAAATAAAATTCTTATCGCAATTTCACAAAATAAAGCCCAAGCGTCATCAAAAAAAAAGTTTTTCAACTTTTCATTCTTTTCTTTTCCGCACACCACAACAAACATTTCCATTGTCTCAGCGATTTATTTTTGTGTATTTTTTTAGCTGAATTATTTAAAGAATGATTGGGTTTAATTATTCACTTTGTGTGGTTGGATGGCAAGACAAATTGATGAATAAACAAAAGATTTGGATGAAATTTTTTATGCTTTTTTCTTAAAAACCACATCTTTTTTAATCTTTGCACACTCATAGAAAAAAAATTACAAATGTTCTGGTTAAATTTTAGTAAAACATGAATAACAATTTTTTTTGTTAATACATAATAGAAACTACAATATATTTGTTGCACTCAACTAACATTTAGTTAAAAATAACAATATCTTTGTAAAAAAATATACAAACATTTTTGTTAAAATTAACAATTTAATTCGTTAGGAGCAACTTAATTGTTGTTTTAAAAAAACTAATTTACATTCCTATTAAACAATTTCAATTCTTATATTAATTAACAATATCTGATATTAATAATACATTGTCTCTTTCTAAATTCAATCAATATCTATGTATAAAATATTATTCTTTAAAGATCTTACACAGAAATGAGTAACAATTTTTATTGTAACTTTTACAAATAATTTGTTATCAGTTCTGTTATAAATATAAAAACGTGAAAAGATTTTATTTTTAAAATTTGTTAATTAAATTATAATTATGGACAATTTAATAAAGTGTTGTGATGAAAAATGCAAAGAACTTTTTTGTTATTACGATGCATATCGAGTTCATTTAAATATAATCCATTTAAATGATTTAAATACATTTAAGTGCACAATAGATAAATGTGAGGGGACATTTATGACTTCAAATGCATTAATTACACATCTATCAAGAGTACACAAATTTTTAAAACAGCCAAATGATAACGAAAATCATATCGCGAGCATCAGATGTGAAGTTAATCATGAAATTCAGACTATGAATCATTATAATTATGATTCACAAAGTACTGTGGAATTACCTCAAGATACCGACTTAAATAATACAAATGATGATTTTGCGCAGGATGATCTTGAACAGGATATATTACAAAACAAAATTCAAAGAATTTTATTAGATTTTCTGATAGATTTACATGCAAATAGTCATATGACAAAAGAAGATATCAACGGAATCCTTAATAAAATTAAGAAGGACATAGTTGATCCAATAATTTCATTGACTAATATTAATCAGAGTGATGAAAAGATGATTGATGCAGCCTTCAAAAGATTTAACACGCAGTATAAATTTGAGCAGTGTCTTTTGGAAAATGGATACATAATTAATGGTATATGATTTTTATTTTATTAATAAATGCACAATCTAAGTTTTTGTATCTGTTTAGGTGATGATATTGTGGTGACAAATAAAATTGGAAACATTTATAAAAAAGGAGCATCAGTTCTAGGAAATATAAAAGAAAAAGTATGCTTAATGCCTATAAAGTTCATGTTTAAAAAGTTGTTCGAGCTTCCAGATATATTAAATACCGTTTTGGACAACATGAAAATAATACAAGAACAAAATGAAATTAAAAATATTTTGAATGGTAACCAATGGAAACAAATAGTAGAAAATTATCCCGAAAATTCCATAATTATTCCTCTGGACTTATATACTGATGATTTTGAGACCGGAAATGCATTGGGCAGCAATGCGGGCACGCATAAAATAACAGCTTATTATTTTTCGATTCCAACATTCCCACAGCATTTGCTGTCAGGTACAGATTATATATTTGAGGCGCTCCTTCATCCTTCTCATTTGAAATACGACGAACATAAATTTTGCATGGAAAGTTTACTTGCAATTTTAAAGGAGTTAGAAGACGATGGATTAACAATTGAACTTGAAGGTACTAAATTAACAATTTATTTTGCATTGGCAAGAATCATTGGAGACAATTTGGGTTTGAATGAAATATTAGGATTTTCTACAAGTTTCAATGCAATGAAATACTGTCGGATATGTACTTTAAGTAAAAATCAAACAAAACAAAACATCCATCCGTCTAAAGAAGATTTAAGAACAATCAAAGGGTACGAAATGGACTTATTAAAAAATGATTTGAAAGAAACAGGAATAAGAACCGAATGCTTATTTAATGAACTGAGAAATTTTCATTGCACCCAAAATGCAGTTTGTGATTTAATGCACGACCTGTTTGAAGGAATAGTAAAATGTGATGTGCCAATGATATTAAAAAAATTCGTAGATGATAAGGAGATACCAGAAATCAGTCTTGACGTAATTAATAATATTAAGCAAAATTTTAATTACGGTACGATTGAGATTGGTAATTTAAGTTTACCAATATCAGATTATCACCTTAAAAACCACACATTAAAGATGAGTGCAAGCGAGGTAAA